AGTTTGTTCAAATCATGACCCCCAGGGGTAGGGTGGGGCCACAGTGGGCGATCAAAGTTTTACATAGGAATACATAGGGAAAATCTTTAAAAATCTTCTTCTCAAGAACAACAAAGTCTTGATTGGTCATATTTACATGGAAGCATCCTCAGATAGTGTTGATTCAAGTTTGTTCAAATCATAACCCTCAGGGGTAGGGTGGGGCCACAGAGGGCGATCAATATTTTACATAGGGATACATGGGGAGAATCTTTAAAAATCTTCTTCACAAGAACAACAAAGTCTTGATTGGTCATATTTATATGGAAGCGTCCTGAGATAGTGTTGATTCAAGTTTGTTCAAATCATGACTCCCGAGGGTAGGGCGGGGCCACAGAAGGCGATCAAAGTTTTAGATAGGAATACATGAGGAAAATCTTTAAAAATCTTCTTCTCAAGAACAACAAAGCGAATATTGGTTATATTTATATGGAAGCATCCTCAGGTAGTGTTGATTCAAGTTTGTTCAAATCATGACCCCTGGGGGTAGGGTGGGGCCACAGTGGGCGATCAAAGTTTTACATAGGAATATTTAGGGAAAATCTTTAAAAATCTTCTCAAGAACAGCAGAGTCTTGATTTGTCATATTTATATGGAAGCATCCTCAGATAGTGTTGATTCAAGTTTGTTCAAATCATGACCTCCGGGGGAAGGGCGGGGCCACAGTGGGCGATCAAAGTTTTTCATAGGAATACATGAGGAAAATCTTTAAAAATCTTCTTCTCAAGAACAGCAAAGTCTTGATTGGTCATATTTATATGGAAGCATTCTCAGATGACCCTCTGGGGTAGGTAGGGCCACAATGAAAGTTTAAACTTGTAGGGAAAAATCACAGTTAGTCAAAAAAAATGTGTAAGCATCCTTAGTTAGTGTAGATTCAAATTTGCTGAAATCATCCCCCCCCTTCCCTATTAGGGGTAGGTCGGGACCACTTATGCATTTAAGCATTGCAATACTAAACTGATTTTTGCTTTTTTCGCAGCCACAGTGCTCAGGTGAGCGATGTGGCCCCTGGGCCTCTTGTTTTAATCATGATAGCCAGTTTTCAAAGACTTGGCAGAACATCTTTTTTAACCATTTTATAAATTGGTTGTGTAAGAAGTTGACAGGTATTTTAACTGATTCTTGTTTTCCTCCCACAGTACCAAGAGATTCCCTGGGTACGACAGTGAGAGTGGGGATTTCAGTGCCGAGGTGCACAGGAACCACATCTTTGGCCAGCATGTGGCTAACTACATGAGGAGTTTACAGGAGGAAGATGATGATGCTTACAAGAGACAGTTCTCCCAATTCATCAAGAATAAAATCACAGCTGACAGTGTAAGATTTGTTTCTTTGAATTGGGTCTGTATCTTGATGTTACTGTTTAAAATGTTTACCATCACTGTATGTCAAAGAGCCTATGCCAGTTAAAAGTTAAATTACAAGCTCACACTTTTTTGGTTTCAATTTAGTTGGAGGGTATGTACAAGAAGTGCCATGCTGCTATTCGAGCTGACCCATCACCTAAACCGAAGAAAGAGAGGAAAGATGTCAAGGTCAAGAGGTGAGTAATGTGATATTCTTTACATCATTGAGAGAGAGGGGTTGGAGAAAGGTGGGGGTCATTGAGAAATAAAAATGGGGGAGGGGTCATAGCATTGACAGAGAGAGAGATGAGTGGAGGAGGGGTCAGATATGATGAATACCAAAGCTTCTTGTCAAGTCATGTTATGTATGATTTGTACCTGACCAGAAAGTTGGGGAAGGAATTTGCCAGTTAAGTTAGCCATTGATCTTATGTCGTACATGCCTTGTAAAAATAAAGGATTTAAATGTTGATAAACATTATATAAATAGTGCACGTTTTTGAGGGTAACAGTTGAAATTGACACCCCAAGGAAAACCATTGTCAACCGACGCGTCAGCGGAGGTTGACAATGGTTTTCCGAGGGGTGTCAATTTCAACTGTTACCCTCAAAAACGTGCACTATTTATTTTATTATACTGAATGTCTTATTGATTTCGGATGTCATAAAAAAATTCGGAGATCGTCGTTAAGTTCACGCTTAGAAAGCTTTCAAACTCCTCGCTTCTATTTTTCTCAATAAGAATTAGCTTAGGAAAAGATTTACCAACCTCTTTATTGTTTGTTTGCTACTCAAAAAGTCCTTTATCATCTAAAGTGTGCACTCGCAAGGATGTTTCGTCTGTCGTTTGTTGTTTTCAGGTAAGGTACATCGGACGCAAGCTTTTATTGACGTCGTTTATTCGGCTTCTTTCAAACGCACAACCGACGTTTTGAGAATTCTACGGTGAACCGTACGCGCATGATTTGAACGCATGTGACATTTTCGTAATGTTACCCGTTGTCAAGTGTGTTGCTAACACTGAGGGTAACATTACGGAATGTTAAATGCGTCTAAACCAATCAGATTTTAGTATTTAACATGAAAGTATAATAATAAAAAATGATACATATCTTTGTTTTAATTTTCTCATCAGATGGAATCGTGCCAAGATTTCCCTGAAACAGAGGAAGGACCGTATCAAACAGAAGAAGGCTTCATTCCTACAACAAATGGAGGAAGAGGATGACGAATAAATTTATGGACTTGCATAACTTAAATAAAATCTGCTTGCCCAACTTTGTGTTGTGTCTTTAGAGTGCTTGTATAAGCCATTGAACTTAATGGGCTGGTTTCAACATATCCGTGTGACATTAGATCCATGCCATCAGAGTGTGTGTTATTAAACACACAGTGAGCTTACTAGTTGTTTACGGTGGTTTGCTCCTTTAGCTTGATGGAATTAATTATGATCATAGATACCATTCAGATGGAATTTTACCTCTCAGCCTGTGCGGTTTCCCCTGAAATCTGTGCAGAATGGAATCAAATTGACACATTTTTGCTTCCAAAGGCATAAAGAGTTGAGGAGTGAGTGCAATATGATTGAAAAGATTGCGCATACCTGCAATATTGTAAACCATGAGATAACTGTCGGTTTCTCAATTCATCAGTACAATAATTTATGGTCTTCATTTTGTTGCATTTTTGACATTCGTTAGGATCATCATTTGCAAATCCTTGAGACCGCTTTCTTTGGAACCACAGGAGGCCTTAAGCACGCCTCAGGCCCCAATTGCCTAATTCCCCCTCCCTCCCCCCTGCATCTGATTTTTGGTCATATCTTGAATAAAGAGAAGAACAATTTGTCAGCGCAACTCCACTTAAACCGCTGCAAAGAATTTCGCCAAACTTTGCAGATATTTAGGACGTGTATAGATGTGCACATTACCAGGAAATTTCGATTCCATTATTTTTCTGGAAATAACGGCACTTTTCAACTTAGATTTTTGGCCATATCTTGAATATAGAGATGAACAAATTGTCAGCGCAACTCCTCTTAAACCGCTGCACAGAATTTGGTCAAATTTTGCAGATATTTAGCACACAGTGTGTAGTTTGTGAATATTACCAGGAAATTCTTTTTCTGGAATTTTGGCATTTTTCAACTTAAATTTTTGGCCGAATCTTGAATATAGAGATGAACAGTTTGTCAGCGCAACTCTTCTTAAACCGCTGCACAGACTTTGGCCAAACTTTGCAGATATTTAGCACACAGTGTGTAGATGTACATATTGCCAGGAAATTGAATTATTATTGCCCTTAGAGTTTTGGCTATCATTGAAGAATCTTTCAAGCTAGGTAATAAGGAAATCCACTGAAATCAGCTTTTGTAATGAAATTTTATATGAAATATTTTAAGGTCCATTGATTTTGAGATCAAAATATTAATAATTTAACACACACACACACACAATCTTGCATAGAAGTACACAAAATTTCTCACACCCCCTCAAATTAGCGTTTTGCCTTAAATAATTTCATAAGTACAGTATATAAACAAATTTATATGACTACATCATAATTTTGTTTCCATCAATTATTTAAATGTATAAATTGTCATACGATGGACATAGACTTACACGCATTAACAAATCGAAGTCACTGAGGAATTTAAATAACAGTTTGTCAGCAAAACTCCTGCACTGAATTTCCTGAAACTTTGTAGGTATTTCAGACATAATGTGTAGATTTGTATATTGCCATAAAAAGTTTGATTCCATTATTTATCTAGAAACTTCAGCTTAAATTTGTAACATACAGAGATTTGAATGTCCTTATATGCAAGAAGTTTTGATGTGATGAATTTTTGCAAGTAATGCCCCTTTTTGAATTATACTGTGTATTTAAAGTGCACAGTGCCATTCATTATGTAGTTTTGTGGGAGAGTTGGGTATGTGAGCTTGCTCACTTTTCCTTTCATGTTAGGAATGTGCAACCTACCCAACAACAAATGGTTTATACATGTATAAAAGAACCTTCGTGCTTAAATTATAGAATAATTGGTTCACATCGAATATGAAATGGAAATAAGGATTGGTATAACTGATTTAACACAGATGATGTAAGCACCTACCTCTTTCGCCTGAAGATTCCATGGCCGAAGAAACGGTTTGGGGGGGGGGGGTATATTAATTCACAAGTAGTTGGTTGAACTTGGCGTTAAATCATTGGTAGATATATTTAATTTGAATTTTTCATGCCTTTGAGCTTGATGAATATGATGTTTCTCATTACAAATTTTCAACAGTTTTGCTCACATTGCATTCAACCGTAATTCCGATGTACTTGGTTTGACCAAATTTTAAGTAGCCCGTTTCTCTCTCTCTCTTTCTCGTAGAATGCAATTGTTTTCAAAGTTTAAGTCAGACAGGAGAAAGAAAAATGTTTAAAATGTCACATGGAGTCAATGTGTTGTCATTCTTTGTGCATCATCTAGGGTTAAAGTAAATCTGAAGCTGTCCATTTTCCCTCGCTTTGTTTTTGAATAAGAAATAAAGACTAAAGAGGTGTAGAAGTGTAGTTATCAAATTTATTATATTTAAAAAAAAAAAGAAATGTTTATACTGTAAATAAAACAAGAGGGAACAACAGAACTTTATACCTAGCTCTCTATAGCAATTACCTTTCACGTTTTTGACAGAGAACACCATTCCCTCTGTTTGTGGAATGGATATTCCCTGGCAAGCCGAAAGTTCCAAAAGATGTGAAAAAAGTTAATTTGGTCAGCATTGTGAGCCTCAGATCCGTCTCCGATGCCCACTTCCTGGAAAATTCCAATAAAACTATATGGCACGTCGAAAGAAAAAAAGATAATTCAATTAAAACCAACTATTATCTGAAGAAAAAAAAAACTCGGATGTCCCCTCTATTCTCTCACACACACAAAAAAATGAATAAATAAATAAAGGGATTAAATAAATCAAGAAAAGGTTAAATATATGTAAATAACAAATATTGTGATCATTGTTATTTTCAAAACGATAGCTGGACGTTGTTCATTTCCATATTGTTCACTACATTGTTTATATTTGTCTCTTAATTTTTCAGTTTGCCTCGTTCAATCAGTTTTCTTCTTCTTTCCGCCAGCTTGTCTTCTTTCAACAGACCATTCTCCTGAAGAACTTTGTGGGTTTCCTCTGCAATTAAGTATAATGACTTTACATAATATTATTCATTACGAATTTCATAATGATTAAGGAGTCTAGATGGATTTTATTTTACCTTTCCATTTCTGGTAAGCGACCTCGTCGTCAATCGGAAGAATCAGGATTCTCATGATGTTCCCATTGATTGGAAGTAGTTTGGGAACACTCGACTTGAAGGTGGGGAGCACCAACTCACTCTTTTTAATAACCTCTGATCTAGTGTCATCTGATCTAGGTTCATCAGTACTTTTGGTGTTGCCTGGGCCTTCGTTCGGTGTCACACAAAACATCGCGTCTAGGATAGATGGAGTGTGAACCTCCTCTTCCACATCTTCGTTGTTCACCTTCTCTATCTTTTTGTAGGCAGCTTCCTCCTCATCTGACAGGATGCCTACTTTATTCTTCCGCATGCAACTATGGAATAGACCCATTTTGTTGTATATTGCCTGACGACCAAACTGCGCTAATAAGCTTGACTATTATGACGTCAGAACCACTATGACGTCGACTACTTGTGACGTTGGTTTATGTTCAAGGGTGCGTTTTAGTGTTTTTATTTTCATAAAAAATGGGTAGATGGACTATAGTAATTTTTATTTTTTGTTGACTGTAACATATTACACGTTCATCGAATTCTACAAAGTGTATGGATGCGCTTCGTGAAAAATCTTCTTGTATAAAAAGACTTGGATCATATTTTTCCCAAAAGAAGAAATAAACTTTAGCGCTTCATGATAATGTAAGAAAACTATGCATAAAACTTACAACATGATACGTGGATATCGGCCTGGGTAGCTCAGTCGGTAGAGCACCTGACAAGTGATGCAGGGGTCCCGGACTCCATTACCGGTCCAGTCATACATTTTCTCCTTAATTCCTGTTACACAAAGAAACTGCTAAGACATTTTCATCAAATCTTATATACTGATACATACTTAAGAGAACTGTTAATTGAGCTATATCAACATTTTTTAGCTAGCCTTTCCTTTGCCCTAGTTTTCTTAAATTTGTGTTTAGTTTATTTTCAAAGATTCTATTCATTGTATTATCATCAAACTTCATATGCTGATATATATTGACGAGTGCATCGAAATTTTTTTTACCTTGGCCTTTCCTTTGGCCTTGACCTTACTTATCTTAAAATGGTATTAAGCTCAGTTTCAAAGAAACTATTCAAAATATTTTAATCATACCTAATATGCTTATACATGTATTGGTGAGAACTTTTCAACTGCATCAACATTTTTTATCTTTCTTTTGACCTCGACATCAAGTTTGTGTTAAGCTAAATTTCAAAGAAAGTATTCAAGCTTTTTTTTATCAAGCTTTTTATGCTTATACATATTGATGAGAATAATTCAATGGCATCAACATTTTTATGCCCCGCCATGAATATGGCCGGGGCATATAGTGTTTGTCATGTCCGTCTTCCGTCTTTCCGTCTGTCTTTCCGTCGCGCTTTGCGTTTAGCTCTGTTCAAAGTTCAGTTTCAAAGAAACTATGCAAGATATTTTTATCAAACTTCATATGCTGATAGATATTGATGAGAGCTATGCATCTGCATCAGCATTTTTTTACCTTTCATTTGACCTTGACCTCACTTTTCTTCAATTAGTGTTTAGCTCAGTTATAAAGATAGTAATCAAACTTCATATGTTGACACATATTGATGTAAGCTATTCAACTGCATCAACATTTTTTACCTTGACCATTCCTTTGACCTTGACCTCACTTTTCTTAAATTAGTGTTTAGCTCAGTTTCAATGAAATCATTCAAGATATTTTTATCAAACTTCATATGATGATACATACTGATGAGAGCTATTCAATTGCATCAATATTTTTTTACCTAGACCTTTCCTTTGACCTTGACCTCACTTTTCTTAAATTAGTGTTTAGCTCAGTTTTTAAGATACCATTCAATACAGTGTTATCAAACTTCATATGTTGATACATACTGATGAGAGCTATTCAACTGCATCAACATTTTTTGACATTAACCATTCCTTTGACCTTTACATCACTTTTCTTAAATTAGTGTCAAACTTCATATGCTGATACATACTGATGTAACCTTTTCAACTGCATCAACATTTTTTTTTACCTTGACCTTAACTTCATTTATTTTAAATTAGTGTTTACCTCAGTTTTAAATAAGCCATTCAAAATATTTATCAAACATAAAATGCTGATACGTGTTTGCGAGAAGTATTCAACCGCATCAAAAACGTTTGACCTCGAACTTTCCTGTGATCTTGACCTCACTTTTCTTAAATTTGCATTTTGCTTAATTTTAAAGAAACCATTGAAGATATATTTATGTAAGTTTATGCACTTATACATAATTTGGTGAGAATTTTTCATCTATATCCAACTTTTTAGATTTCATTTTCAATGAAACTATTCAAGATATTCTAATCAAATTTCATCCACTAATTACAAATTTTCATGTTGCATTACTAATATACCCTCGGCGGGGCATTCATGTCCTATGGACATATTTCTAGTTCACCTTGACCTTTTCTGTAACCTTGACTTCAAATTTGTGTTTACATGTAGCATGGGTTTCGAAGAAACAAATCAAGATATATTTATCAAACTGTAAATGCTTATTCATATTGATGAGAGCTATTCAATGTCATCAACATTTTTTTTTAGCTTGACCTTTTCTTTGACCTGGCCTCAAGACCATAAACTGAGAACAGATTTAAGTCAAAATTTTGATTTTGAATATCTTGAGTTTTATTATGCCCCCCTTCGAAGAAAGGAAGGGCATATCGCTTTGCTGCTGTCTGTCGGTCCACCAACAGTTTCCGTTCATTTTCTTCGCAGAGGTTGCACATAATGATATGAAATTTGGTATACAGATTTATCATAAGAATATCTAGGTCAAGTTCTGTTTTGGGTACGATCGAGCAATTTTTGAGAGTTATGCCTCTTTGACTTAGAAAAATTCCAATCTGATTATTTTGGGGGGGGGGGGGGCATAAGTGTTTCACAAACATCTCTTGTTTAACATGTGTGCTTAAAAATTTGCAGGTTTGTCTAATTTTCCAATTTTAAAATATGATGAAAATTTTGTTTCCTTATCGAAATTATTTCAAAAGTGATACTGATTTTAAATCTTGACTTAAGTCTGTTCTCAGTTTATGGTCTTCGGGCCTGGACTTCAAGTTTGTGTTTAGAATAGTTTCAAAGAAACAAATCAAGATATTTTTATCAAACTTCTTTTGCTGATACATATTGAGGAGAGCTACATGTATTCGACTTTATCTACATTTTTTGACCCCTTTAACCTTGACCTCAATGTAAGAATATGCACTGATACGTTATTTGGTGAGAATAAAAGAGAATGAAAGTTTTGATATTATATATATATATATAGAGAGAGAGAGAGAGAGAGAGAGAGAGAGAGAGAGAGAGAGAGAGAGTTTTATTTCAAAGAATAAAGGTATATTGACCTGCAAAATATTGAAATGTGAAATATATCATAATATATTTTGAAACATTACGTTATATTCGTATTTCCGGTATGCAGGGCCGAAATTCTAAATTGGCGGTTAATATTTAATAACATCTTCCATACAAGTTTTTTTCCTCTCCATTAAGCATTCATTTGACATCTGCGGCCTTCAATTTAAAATTTAGATATATCGACAACATTTTACCAACTAACAATATTCATTTTCGTTCCTAAGTTAATTCGATATATCCCTGTGAACTCGAAATAAAAGATGCCACAGTATATTTGGATATTTTACTAGTAAAAGACGTTAACGGTACCCCGACAACAAATTTTAAACTTTATGATAAACGTGATTACTTCAACTTTTTAATCGTCAACTTCCCTAATCTGTATAGCAATATACCATTATCACCTGCATATGGAGTTCATGTCTAGTTGATTCGATACGCAAGAGCATGCTCTTCTTATGAACAATTTCTAAAACGATCGAGCAAGCTACTGACAAAGAAGTTGATGAAACAAGAACATCAACAGTCTTATTGCAAGTCAACATTTAGCATATTCTATGGTCGTTAAAACGTTCAAATGTTGACTGAAGTTTCTTATACTAATTGTTACATGTAGCCATTACTAGTATTTTCACTGAATCATCTACAGATTTTCCCGTTTGTCCGATTATGACAAGGAACACATGGCGGGTGTGACCAGTCGACAGAGGATGCTTACTCCTCCTTGGCACCTGATCCCACCTCTGATGGCTTTAGACGCCTGTATTTGCTCTGCACCAAATTTGTTTACTTTCAATGGACTTTTGAGCTTGATTATTGTTTGTTATCTTCATCTACCGAAAATGTTCCGTTTCTTTACTCGTTGTGAAATATAGTGAACATTTTATCATGGTCATTGGCACAAATTATCTGAATTTGGGCGTTTTATGAACTTTTATATTTACTTGGCCATGAGCTTTGAGAGCGGTTTTCATGTCTTCACAAATCATGCAAATGGCAAGCCAGAATTGGACAGACACAATAAATTATTCTAGCTTTATACCCCTATCAATCTGTTGCATAATATATGTGGTTTAATATTTTTTTCTGCAATGTTGCAAAAGGTACGGTAATCCCTTTATTAACAAAGAAAACATTTTATTGTTCTAATGCGTAGCCTTGTCTATGGTCTTTCAAGAAAAACAGTAGACTAAGTGTAATTTATAAAGAGCAACATGAAGTAAATAATGTAAATAAGTACATGTACTCACACAATGTAATAACAAACAAAATCATTTAAATACGCTCATTACTCTTGAAAGTTATGGTTTATTTATGAAAAATAGTAAAGCTATATAGGCACCATAGTGACTCTTTTATATTGATCTAAGTTATCTCGAGTCCATGTCTTAATAGAAACCTAAAGAAGTACAGAATCATAATACATGTTGTATGTATGAACATACAAGTTTAATACATGTACTTTTACTCATACTCGTATTTTATTTACTATCAATGAGCATATATTGCTTTAATACTAATTGTTTTATACATAATTCTTCACTCAATTATCAAAGTTCCTTACGAGAAGCACTAGAAACAACAAAAAAAACCACTGTTGCATTTCATCACATGAAAAAAAAATCTTAACCCCCCTCCCCCATCTCAATTTAATTTCTTAGAGATTAATGAACCTAAATCACAAAAGTGGTAAATATTTTACACATAAAAAAATTTAACTGGACAACAATGAATTTTCAAATATATTCAAACCTCATTACCATATTTTGAACTCAACTGGACCTTGAAAAAAAAAAAACCCAAGATTTCTCAGATATTGAAGTTAGAATACAAAAATTTTATATAATTATTCAATATATTTAATATTGGTTGGGATCTTCAGACTCACTTATTCTAAATATTCATAGTATTCGAGTTACATATATCAATGTTAGTCATTCAAGATTTATCTTTGTCAGATGTACCTTTATAATAAATTTCAAATAAATTTCAATCAAACAAGTATGCTAAAAGATGTCTTAAAATACATGTATTTTCATTTTTTTTAAAACTATATATACTGTTTTTTTTTATTATTAATAAATAATTATAATAATAACTTCAATCCAGTCCCTTCTTTCTGACAATTAGGTCCCTGAACACTTTCTTGATGGTGACATAACCTTTGCCCACTAAGTACTTCTCCAGAAAATCAGAACCACCTGTGACATGTTGATATTCCACATTCATTATGCTAATATCCACTTTGTTAAATGGCACTGTGTCTAAAATTAAAACCTCTGCTCCTTCTACATCTAAACTAAATACATCTATATGCTTGATGTTTAAGGCTAACAGAATGGAATAGAATGGAAAACACTGTACATCAATGGTCTTTGCCCCTGAAGTTTTTTCTAAATGTCCGATCGCCCAGTCCTCTTTGAACTTCAACTACAAAATATAAAGTAATGTTCCAACCTCAAAGAATAAAAAATCCAAATATGACATGTACAGTTAAACATAATTATAACTTAGTGTTAGGGACGGATGATTTTGCTTCGTTATAAGGGTAATTCATAATATCCATGAAGTTTACAATATATTTTTAAGTCAAGGGGGATTAAAATCACTTCGCTATAAGCGTCAATTCATTATAAGGTATTTTTTTTTAAACCAGAGAGATACAGAATAAACTTATTTACCACAGCAGGATGTTTAAAGGGGCTGAGACAAGCATTGATGTAGTATGCCTTTCTGTTGGTTTTCAGAAGTTGTCTATAGTTATTCCTGTTGGGTTCTATTAATAACCCTGTCCACTTCCTCTTCAGCTCAAGATAGAGAGTGTTTGATTGGAATTCTCCATCACAAGCTCCACATTCCACATAAAATCCACCTTCCTGCATAAATATTAAATCTCATTTACACCATATCCAAATATCATAAGTTTTGGTTTCATTTTTTTTAATTCCATAAACAAATAATCGTTCAAAATAAATCAGTTATTCAGGCAATATTATATTTACATCTTATATACATGTGTATAGCTCACTTACATTACAATATACAGTCAAACCTCGTTATCTCAAACTTCACATGTCCAAGAAAATACTTTGAGATATCCGAGGATTCGAGATATTCATAGTAAAATACTGAAGAAATTAGCGCTTGAAACTTCAAAATCACTTCGACATACCCATGGTATTTGAGATATCCTTGTTCGAGATACCAAAGTTCAACTGTACTTGATAAATCTGAACTACCTGATGAGACTGTACCTCTTATGGATTTAAAGTTACTTATAATAGTATACAGTTAAACCTGTATTAAGTGACCTATCAAGAGAAATCCTAAAAAGTCACATGCCTCATATAATATAAAAAAAAAATGGGAGGAAATTTAATAGTGGCATATAACAGGAAGTTGCTAAATACAAGTGGTTACTATGACATGTTTGACTGTATTTGTCTTTTCCAAACATTGAATTATCTTCCAACTACAATTTCCCCTTATTTTAATATTTGAGATGGGGGCAAGTGGTTACACACAAATTTATATACATGTACCCAATATATATATATATATATTTAATCTTACTTTATTTTTTAATGCATTGTCAATGATAACTGACTGGCCATGGGTGGAATAATCTGTTTTTCTAGCCTTGAATTTGTAAGGCCCTGTAGGTGGAGGCCTGATCCAGTATCTACGTATCAGATCGATCAGGTACGGATCATCAGCTCGGGTCCCATTATGGCTTATTCTGGCTGTCTCTTTCCTGTAATCAGCAGGTGTAGGCAATGTTCTATTAATGGACAAATGAAAAAATGGACTGTTGGGAGAGTTTTCCTTTATCTTGGGGGGTCTGAGTGTTTCCAAAGGTTCAATTTGTACTCTGTTTGACACAAGGAAGAAGATGGTAGAAATTAAGATTGTCAAGAGTCCAATGTATGAAGCCTTGTACTTTCTGGCATAAGATCCTTCTGAAATACAAAGAAATAATTTAAAGCTGAAGAAAATCAAAAACTGACAAAGTCATACAAAGGGGTGAGGTGTGGGGCAAGAGGGGGGGGGGGGGTGTAAGCTAACCCCAAATCTCTGATGTCTACACTTATATACAATATGTATTTCATATCAAGTTTAAAATTTTCAGCATTTGATCTACTTACCTAGAAAACAGCTCTCTGGCTTCATGTTTAATTCTGCTATGTCAAGACAATAACTGAAATGGATAAATAAATGAAAAATAAGGAATATACACTGCATTTTATCCAGTACATGTAAATTTAACATGCAAATCATGATCATCTATTAATACACACTGTACACATCTTCAATTCACTGTCATTCTGAAAAGAGGAAGCATGCACTTATATACTGTATGACCATGATGACATTTGCAATCTAAACATGTTATTTATGTCTATGCACAGAAGTATAAAATTTCAGCAGTAAGCAAATGCAACAGTAAGGGACACAAAGAATTCGAACCTAGCTGGCTTCCTGAACTCTAGCTATCAGCTAGTGTCTATAGAACTAACTAAACTATCTAGCCTTCAGCAAATAATCCTAGCTGTCTGACCACTATAATTATTCTTTCCTCCACCAGGTTCTTCCTTACACAACAAGACAAAACTTAAAGCTGGATCAGGAATGGCACCTTGGACCTGCAGTACTAGTCAGGTGCTTGAACCACTGAGCTATCCTGGCCTGTATCCACAGATCTTGTCACTACACCCTTCCATTTTTAAACTGTCTTAGCCCTCAAAAACACAACTCAGACTCGATGAATTATGTAACTTTAAGATTATTTAATGCACTTTTTCTTATTTAAAAAATATCAATTAAAAAATTACCTAGCTTGATAAGCAAAATTGAAAATATCATTCTTTTGCCCCTGACAGGACTTTCATTTTTAAGTCCATTGGTGGTCAATGGTACAAAAATACCAACTTAGGTCACATTTATTTGGACTGATCATCCGTTTATGGAAAAAACAATTATGGGAAACGCGCGCGCGCACACACACACACACACTCCAGCAAAAGCAGGGATTAGAGTCAGAGGAATCTCGGATTAACTTCATTATTCATATCACTATATATGCTTTAGGTCTATGTATTACTATACACCAACTGGATTTTACAACAACTACATGCATTGCATTTATTTATAACAGACCTGTGTCAATGGAATATGGCGATTCTTTCCTTAAGATGCAGTTTTCACATTACAACCCTGAATTTTGGATCACCTTTTGCCACACTCAGACTCAGGTAGCTCACCTGGCAAGTGTGAGCGGTTCCTTGAGTATTCGCTCTCCATTGTCTCGACCGGAGGTGTAAAAACCACACACGCTAACTCTCGTTTCCCGCCTACATTTTACACCCATTTGATTCAATATAAATGGCAGTTTGGCCATTAAGACTTGATTGAATGCAAAGAAGAGTTCATTATTAATTGATTAATACTTTTAAAAACAGTGTCAAAAAACTTACACTGTATAATTGCTCTTATTTACGACTCTTTTCATAACGGGGGTTGAAAATTTTATCCATTGAAATCAGGCTTTAAAACATCGCCAGATTTTCAAAACCGCATGGAAATGGATAAATGACCCTTAATTCTTTCTGTATGTTTAACTTATGTAAAATTCAACATAAAAGATTGATAAAAAAAACTTTTTTTTTATTAGTAATCTCATTTGAAATTGAGGGAAGTTTCTAGTATGCAGTCTAGACGAACTCCAAAAACAGCGTTTCCGGAAGTAAGAAATTGAGACTGAAAAAGACTCCGAAAAAAGAGTCGGCGCATGCGCACACGCACAAAAAATGGCGATTTTTAGGCAAAAATGATGGGTCTACAAAAACTGTCTGTGCAAAGTTTTTGAAAGTATGGCAATTATGCCAGTACTCAGAAATGCTAAATAAAAGACTTTGGAAGAGATCGTATTTGTCAGAATTTTTATTTTATTTGCAAAAAAGGAGATATTTACTTTCAAAGTTGACGTTTGAAGTCAGGTCAATTACAGAGAAAACGATACGTTTGAGAAGTAAAAATGCATAATAAAAGGGATATATATGCAAAATGGGATAATATATATTGTAACTGTTAAAAACTTGACTGAATTTTACACATAAATTAGCATTCCGGTATTTTTATTTGTGTTAGACATCTGAATTGAACGCGTAAGTTCTTACCATCGTTATTTACCGATTTTTTATCACATTAGAACAGATATTATTATGAAAACATTTTTAAAACTATTGGTTATCAATATGAAATCTTTAAAAACCACTCTTCTAGAAATTATAAGGTCACAACATGTCTTCTAAAAATGAACCTGTGAATATCTCTGCTCCGTGGTGAAAAATACGCATTTTCTAATTAAAATAAATACAAGTTGAGTGTCTTCAAAAACAAATAAAAGCACCTAATATTGTAGGAACAACATAAAAATTAAATCAAGGAGACAATAAATCAAATAAGAAAATAATTCTTACCGGCAGTATTGAATTCAATGTCGTATATCCAATTTACTACTATGCAAGAGTTTGAAGCAATAAATAAGTCAATATCCACAAAATAATTTAATAAATATAATTATCCATTCAACAAAAAATTAAAATAAAGTCACAATGCACTAAATACAGCCATCATGCACCCGTATATTTGGAGAAAGCGAACGACAATCCATCGTTTGTTTACATCGGACGCCATTTTGCCGCAATGCATGATGGAGCCAAAGACTTCGTTTTCGGAGTTCACGCCGTTTTTAGAGTTCGTCTAGACTGGTATGCCGGTCCCCAGAATCACGCGATTGCGCATGAGCAGTTATTTCCCTTGCCGTTGCTATGCAGAATGTAAACAAACCGCCATTTTCCCCTCGCTTCAACAAAACGCATTCGATCGAGTGATTAGGGTTAGGGTATATTGTTTTAAGATTGGAACTGTTTTATAAATCCACTCTTAAATCTTCCTGACTTTGGGCTAATTCATGTAATTTTTGCTTACAAAAGGCACTGCCAAGTGCCTTTTGTGACCAAAAACTTGCATGAATCAGCCTAATGTTGAACAGTGTCGATATACCATCTTATAGGAGTAAAGCATGAAACATGCAAAACTTAAACAGACCGTTAATTAAATATGGCATTGTATGCGATCTACGAATTAGGGTTAGTGTATATATAGCTCGGATATTGTAACTGTTTTATATTCACCCATGCTCGCATCTATACCACTTTGGGCTTATTCATGCAATTTTTGCTTACAAAGAACAGGAAAGTTTTGCGAAACTTGGATGAATTAGCCTTGGTCTAATGTTGAAACATGCCCGATATTGTGCGCTAAGTTTTGGCAAGTAATTGGTAAAAGCGACTTACCGTTTACTTAAGCTCGATATCCTAACCTCCTAATGTCCATATTCAGAATATTTTTTTCTTTCAAATCAATGGTGATGTACAATTCAATCAACCAATTACTACTAGTCTAGTAATTAGTTATCACTTGTTAAATCCCTGCATTTCTCACAAAAATCTCGCAATTTTAGTAGCATTTCACTTTGAGTCCTATCAGCTACTTCTTCATCAGTCTTCATTACGTCAAAACACAAGTGACGCACGTCATGAATATTTATGAGATTACGTCAAAAAGTGATCATGTGACCACATTCCTAAACAACGCAAAATGGAGTTTTATCTACTAAACAAGTACGTTATTTTACGAAACCTTTTAATTCTCATTTAAAAAACTGTGTTTAAAAACTAGTTTTTTAAACCCAATTTTTCACAAGGAAAACGATTTTTGGCTCAATTTTGCGATTTGTGGCCTTTTTTATCGATTTTGTCGATCGCTCACGCGATCGTATTATATTGTACACCGCCTTCGGCGGCACCTATTTTAGCGCCATTTTTATAGGGACCGGTATACTAGAAGTGTTCCGAAATTGGTAATAATTAAATGACCATTTTTGCAGGTTTTTTTTGTTTGCAAACATATGTTCCCCCCGTGAAACAACAAAAGCTTTGGTCTGCATTTGTGAAATAACAATTTATACAACCCATAAAAAGGAATTTTTGTTTCACGAGGGGGGGGGGGGTTAAAAATATTTTTCGTTTATTTCTATATAGTGAAAAACACAAATTTTACCAAAAATAAAGAGTTATCTCTCTTTGTTTTTCCAAATAAGTGATGTTTTATGAAAATTCACAAAAATATCTACATAAATATGAAAAATTATTCAAATATGTTTACTTTTAAATTTGACTTGGAGGTAGGCGGCAGAATAATACCATTGCTCGCAGTTCTTAATGGAACATGTAGAACCAAAATAACGACTCTAATAAAAAAAAAATAATTATTTTAATAACATGTGCATGAGGATTTGGGTAGGGGAGAGCTCTGCCCTGCGGGATTCAAGTTCAAAATGTTTTATATATGCTAACACATTTAACTCCGTTAGGAAAGAAGACAGTCACGATAGATCAGTCGGTATATGGTAACGTCTCTATATGGGTGAAAAATTCTCGAATGGGACGTAAAACAACAATCAATCAATCAATCAAGTGTTAGGGAAGAACATCCAGGTAGAATTCAGGGGCATGGAAAAATTTTGACAAAGTTCATTTGGGGGCGACCATTTGATTCAAGGGGGGGGGGGGGGAGCTGGCAATTTTTTCCGAGTCAGATTATTTTTCATGTTGGTGTAGGACAGTTTAATTAAATTATTTCCAAGACGGTCAAGGACAGATTATATATTTTCTTCTTCATTGATAAAAGAAAAATTGCCAAATTCTAAAAACTTCTATTTCCTGGGGAGGGGGGGGGGGTCAACTACAGATTATTTATTTTCTTGGCAGTCGAGGATGGATTATTTATTTCCGATTTCCAACATTTTTGAGGACTGATTATTTATATCCAAAATCTGCACCCCTCCCCCCCAAAAAAATCAAATGGTTGTCCCTTTACAATATCTTTATGTAAATAATATGCAGAGAGAAAGCAAGGACTTACATACAATCTTTCATAGCATTAATACATGTACATGTATATAGGTCCCTAAAAAGGAATTTTTTTAAAATGAGTAAACCGATTTACTGTATAAATATCATTAATTAAAGCCATACATGGCGTATTTTTTTTTAATCAGTTCAGACTAACAAATTAAAAAGATCTTTCTATTTGTTTTATTACTTTATGTAAAGATAGGACTTTTCTGTAGATTATACAATTTAAATCAAACTCGTTTCAAAGATAACAAAAATTTAAAACAATAATAAACTTAAAGTCAATTTAACTATAGAAACGTCTAGATATACAAGTTCAAGATCGATGAAAATTTTAATTTGAACATAAATAAACATGTATCATGTATATCTACACTCTATCTTGTATCTTCTTTTAGCTCAGATATGCCATATATAGCTTTAAAAATACATGTATATAGGTCCCTACAAAGGATTTTTTAACAGAGTAGACCGATTTACTGTGAAAATCTTGAAGAAGTTACATTGTATGATAAAACATAACAAATAAATATACTATTTCTAGTTTTAAAAACACTTTTCTTAAATAATCATCATTTCCTGACCGTGCTCCATTTTTATGCCCCCGGATCGAAAGATCCCGGGGGTATATTGTTTTTGTCCTGTCTGTCTGTTTATCTGTTGTCAACTTTAACCTTGCCCATAACTTTTGATTGGTTGGAGCTATGACTTTCATACTTCACGTGTATTCCTTGTGACAAGACCTTTCTTTGGGTACCATCATATTTGACCTTGACCTTGGAGTTTGACCCACTTTTGCCAAATTTTATGAGACTTTTACCTTGGCCATAACTTCTGAACAGTTGGTGCTTGGGGTTTCAAACTTCACATGTGTATTCTTTGTGACAAGGCCTTCCTTTGGATACCAACAACTTTGACCTTTTGACCTTGGACTTTGGCCTACTTTTGAAAAACTTTAACCTTGGCCACAACTTTTGAACAGTTGGTGCTTAGGGTTTCAAACTTCACATGTGTATTCCTTATGACAATACCTTCCTCTGGATATCAACCACTTTGACCCTTTGACCTTGACCTAGGAGTTTGACCTACTTTTGAAAAACTTTAACCTTGGCTATAACTTTTGAATGGTTGATGCTAGGGCTTTCATACTTCACATATGTAATCCTTGTGACAAGACCTTCCTTGGATACCAACCACTTTGACCTTTTGACCTTGACCTAGGAGTTTGACCTACTTTTGAAAAACTTTAACCTTGGCCATAACTTTTGAATGGTTGGTGCTAGTGCTTTCATACTTCACATATGTAATCCTTGTGACAAGAGCTTCCTTTGGATACCAACCACTTTGACCTTGACCTTGACGTTTGACTTTTATTTAAAAAACTTTAACCTTTTGAACAGTTGTATCTACGTCTTTCAAATTTCACAGGTGTATTCCTCGAGACAAGATCTTTCTTTGGGTATCAACACTTTTTATCTTTTGGCCTGGATTTTGACTTGCATTTGAGAAACTTTAACCTTTGCCATAAGCCGCCATATGGGGGCATCAGTGTTTCACAAACACATCTTGTTTTTTAATTTGTGTTTCTGTAATGTTAGGGAAAGCCAAAAAAATATTTCATTGTTTGCCATGATGTCAAAGGAGTAATCGCACGCTTTGTTGTGAACAAACATGTACATGTACAACATAATATAATGCAGAGCCCAACATTTCAATGTGTGATAAGAAACTCAATTTGGAATGAAAGACAGGTACATGTAACTAACTTGGATCGATTTAAATAGTGCAGCTTGTGATCCAAACATTTCAAATCAATAGAACAACAATTTCAAATATTTATATTTTTATTAAACAATTTGCAAATGTATGCCCTTTCATCAAATCATAAATGAACAATAACAAAATAGAATTAAAAATCATATTGCACCCAGAAAATCATACAAAAAATATAAATACATGTATAATACATGTATTTCTTTTCTACATGTAAATGTTAATTGCACACACCCTTTACTTTTAATACAGTACATCTTTTATCTATAATGACAAATTTTGAAGAAGAACTGAGCTTTGCAATTCATTCTATGTGTTGTTTTTTGGTCCATCACTGACCGGATTCTGTACTCTCCTTTAATTCTGGACAGATTTCCAAGAGAAAGACCTCCAAAAGACTCTGAGAACAAAAGCATCACAGTATTAGACATGACACTAAAAGAACACAGTATTGTTAATTTTTATACATGTACTTAAAGCAATACAAGCTGCATTTTTGAGAATTTTATTTTGCTGTTAAAATGTGTTATTATGATAAATTTGTATATAATTTAAACCTTTTTGATCAATTAGACAGAAATAAAGTATCAAATTGTTTCAGAATAGGATTCTGTACAATCAATTACCGTTATATAGTATTACAAGAAATCAATTTTGTACAGGATAACAATAATGTAATTTTGCTTCAATCAAAGTTTAAAAATAGGTCTTCCATTGCAAATATGACCAACAGTAGTTTATAAATGTTCTTTTTTTCTCTCATTGAAATAGTTTAATCTTAGCATTTGTGAGAAGAGTCATGAAACATATTGTCTTTTCTCTTACCCTTCTATCCAAAAGGAAAAGGTACTACTCAGGAAAATATTATTAAAGATTTTTATCAAATCCCTTTGGAAAAGGGGGGATGCATAATCAATAACTAAGTAAAAATACGTGCATAGAAAAGATGTTTGTTTAGTCTTGTGTCTTGTAAAACTTCAAACATTTTAATAGCTCCTCTTCTGCCATTCTCCTCTCCTAAAAGTGTTCTGACTGCATCTGAAATCGGAAAAATTCTCATTATTCCCAAGTTCTCCAAAATAGCAATATGTTAATTGCTCATTTCAAGCCTTTTAAGTGCACTACATGTATATTCTGATAATGTAAAAGATAAATTTACCTGGCATATTGTTTAAGAATTTTTCTTTGGCTTCAAGCCTCGTTTGTAATTTTTGAAGGTCTGTCTTCGGGGTCGGAGGGTCAGCTAGCTTGCCATTTGGCCACATGGAGTTTTTGAACAAAGTAATGTAGTAAATGATCATGCTCTCTGAAAATATCCAGTCCACCATTTCTCGCAGTTGTCTACAAAATAAGCAAATATACACTAAAAGTTTACCTACGCATTTTACCTACAATATTTGTGTTATTTGCAAAGCTAGAACATTCAAAGAGAGAGAGAGAAAATTCCTCTGTGTGTTTGTTTATTGGTGAAATATCTTATCTCTCACTATTATTAAGCCTATTTTGTTAACCAGCTGACTTTCATCAAAATAAATTGCAAAACTCACAAATTACACATACACTGTATATCTTTGGGAAATTAGTCAAAATCCAAAACTAACATTTCATAATCTGGTATCAGACATAAAAATGCAGGTCACGTCTACTGACACCGAAAGAAAAGATACTTTAATCTAAATGGCCCAATAACTGCCATTTAGAAATACAGATTTCATTCAACATACACACCTATTTATAGACCTTCCAAAAGTGACTTCCACAAACATGATGAAGCTGCGTCTCAGCCATTTAAACATACCATGACACTCGAACACCTCATCTACCAGTCTGTAAAATGGCTCAGCAATGGAGTCTTTCCTGTCCAGCTTTGAACTGCATGGGGGAAAAAAAAAATCACATAAAAATTAACTGAGCTGCAATATTTTGAAAATTTATAAAAAAAATCAAATCAAATCATTTACATAATTAAAGTGATTGGTTGCCATAATCTAAGAGAAACTATAGTATTAAGTTACATCAGGCACTGGGTGACACATGCAATGTTTTAGAATAAAATTAGAAATGCATGTACATGTTTAAACATTGCAGTGTAAAACTGATAAAACTGTACTTCTAAATACACAGTGTTCTTTATTTTGATCCTTGGGCAATCTTTTTTTTTATAAATAAATATTCACAGTGAAATAATTTGTACATAAAATGTAGAAAATCTCTCCATAGATAAGGAACTACTGTCTATTAAAAATAACCCCAGCATCAAGTTTAAATAGTTCTAATTTCCATTAAATCAAATCCTACAACTGAAGTGCTCTTTGCAAAACACAATTCCTCATCAGCAGGACATGTTTGTATTTCAGGTAACCAGCCTAATCCCAATAGAAAACTTAGTCAATCAAATATTTTACAGATTACTTTTGAACAATGAATTAGCAAATACTGTATAACAAAGTTGTAAGTGACATTTAAAATATCAAATCTTCATGTTACATGTATCTTACACAATACAGACATGAATTAACAGTTTGCAGTCAAAGACAGCACATTGAGGCCTACCCATCGTCTTCTTCATCCACCAGTTTAAGTTCGTCCTCATTGACTTGCTTGTACTGACCAATGGGCAAGCTACAGTACGATAGAAAATCTACCCAATATATATATATATATATATATATATGCTATATACAGTATGAATTTCATACTATCTGAAAAATGAGGGGGCAAACTAGAAAGATGTTACAATTCCTTTCTTTTGTAAAGAAAATAATATGTACAGTCTAACCTTGTTATCTCAAACTCAATCGGTATCTTAGGATTCAAAATATGGAGGTTAAAATATACAAAGAGAACTAGAAATCTGACCAGTCAGCAGGGCCCCACCAAGGGTTAGAAATATAAGGGTGCAGATTAGGGGATGAGAATTTTACTTGATTCCAAAAAATTTCAAAATATATAAAGAATAAGCAACAGCAACTGCTAAATATCCAACAATCTGTAAATAGTATCCTTGTATTTACATAAGGCAGTAAAAAACATCATATCTATAATAACTCAATTAAACGTATATTTAAAAATGAATGAAGCATGTGTTTTCTAAAATGCCAGCCTTCAGTGAATGCAAATATCACCCAGGCTTGACCTTAACTTCAAAACAAATATCAGTTGCAGACAAAGGTGTTAATTAATCTTAAAGTGACAGAAAGATAACCCTCTAAAATATTCTGCAAACCAGCAAGATAATCAAACCCACGGGATTAATTATAATGCTCTCTCAACCTTTTCTTCTAAGTTTACAGTAAGAACTTTTTCAGCAATGATAGAATGAGGTTTTTATCTGAATACCTGTTAAAATAATTAGTATTCTTGAATTTACATAAGGCAGAAAAAAAGAAAAAAGAAAGAAAAAAGAAAATAATAATAAAAATGATATCTCTATCTATATCTTGTTTTTAGAATTCAATAAAATCATAATTCATTGTGTATTTTACCAAAATAAAGTATGAACATAATTTAAATCCACATTTCAGAGAATGTAAACATCATTCAGAATTGACCTTAACTTCAAAACAAACTTCATTTGCAGACAGAGGTGTTAATTAATCTCAATATGAGTGCAAGAGGAAAGTTAATTAATCCCAAGAGACTCATTGCAGCCTTTCATAGTTTTACAATAGGAACATTCTCAGCAGTTATCTCTCTTTGCCCATTCACTCTTATATAAAGTTAAGGAATATACCCCACCACCCCAGCTCCAAACCGGGTGACACAGAGAACCAAACTTAGCATCAAAATATGTCTTACTGCCTATTCAACCAACATACCAAATTTGAACTTAATTGGTCTACCCTAAAAAAAGTTATTAGAAAAAAACAGAAAATTTGTGGACAGAAGAATGACAGACAGACAGACAGACAGAGTGATTACTATAGGGCACCTGCAAATCCTTGCGGGGCCCTAAAAATATACATGTACAAAGAGAAAAATATTCATGTACAAAGAGAGAATGATTGGAACTTCCAGCTCACTCTAACATATCCACGGTATTTAAGATATCAATGATTGAGATAGCAAAGTTCAACTGAATTTCAAAATAGGAAGTAGGATTTAGTTGGAACAAGTTGATTATATTCAAGGTTTGATTACAGAATTCTTTGTAAATATGTACTGTACATTATTAGTAGATACAGGGTGATATTGTGATGCATTTATATCTTTGAACTGATACATGTCATACATTTCAATGGTCAATTTTAATTTGACACAGATTCATGTTTAATGATAAGACAAAGAGAAATATTGACCTTTTTATAATGGAGGTGATGAAGAACTCTTTCTTTTTCTCTGGTTTCCTGTGCAAGAAGAACTCTGGTGTTGGCGTCAGAAAGCCATAAAGCGCCTCACTCTGGGCCATCATTCCATCTTTCATTACGGCCTAAAATCAGAAACGTGAAGTCAGTACATTTGACAGCACAATATAATATTTAAAACAGGAAGTTGGCTTCTATTTATTTGTTTACATAAAATTCATATGCATGTTATCTTGAAGCAATCCTTGAAATTCTAAATGCCACCTACAGACTGTGTTTAAAGTAACACTTTTACAAATAAAGAAAAACTGAACAAGAAAAAAAATCCTTGAATTTCTACAATTTCATATTCAAACTTAGTAAAATAAATTCTTGTACTTCAGAAAGTAATTTTTTTGTATTCATTAAATCATTTAGACTTAAGTAATAAGTCAAAGGTCACACTCACACTGAGATAATCATTCAGCATTCTCTTACACTCATTTAAGAATTTATCGTCCAGTGTTGTGAATCGCCGCACAGATGGAAGTTCTTTCTTCTTCAACCAAGGTCCAATCTATCAAAACATTGAAATTAAGAGATACATGTACATGTATGTATGGAAAACTAGACATCGTTGTCATTGTGGAACAGCTACAGAAACAGGTTTTCATTTTCTTTATCTATCATCTATATATATCACCTCAATCAGTTTCTCGTGGAGTCGGTTGAAGTCTGGGATAGTTCTGGTGACTAGCCAGCCTTCTGCACTATGCTGAAGATTGTACGATTTTTCCTGTCCTGTCAGATGCACGATCAAAACAAAGGTAGGTATCCTCTTATCATCCTCCTCAACAATCTGTGTATTATTAACAATACTAGTGACATGGAAATATACATATATTAGAAAGGTATTCATCTATTCCAAAAATACAAGTACATGTACATTGCTTTTACATGTATTAACCTCAAAATTATATACATGTAACTGAGTACAGTAAAGATCACAACTTAGTTCTTTTCTTTATCAACTTGTGTAAAATACTTTTTTCTATCATGGGTATTCCCCACAAATACAGGGTATATCATGCTACTGGTATCCGTACATGTGTGTGTAAGCTTATGTCCTGTATTACAGGAGTCCTTATATTTATTTCACACACATGATTTAGCTTTTGAATGAAGAGTATTGCATGAATCACTGAAATCAGAGAGAATTTCCTACAGATCCTGACCTGTGCTTCGTATATAGTGGCCCTCCAGGAGCCTTGATTCTCACACCACTTCTGAGTCCTCAGGATGTGGATCTCTAGCTGCCTCCTCTGTAGGATCAACTGCTCCAACTCCCTCTCTAAGTCTTTCTCTATCTTCTCTGCCTAGATACAAGAAAGAACAAAAATGGTGCAATGTTAATATTTTTTATTTAAACTTTTGACATATATATTCTCATATTTCATGAGAAATGAGCTCTTATGAAATAACTTGGCTGTGCATGCTGAAGACTGAACACCATATGCCCTCATACAGTACTTCAAAGCAGGGCACAAAAATCTTGCCCTACATGAATATTTTACCAGTGTTATTAAAAGCCTAAATTTTGGAGTAAAAAATTCTACTTTCAGACTCATTAGTCTTATAAAGAAATGAAATTACATCATTTCACACATATCTATAATATATATTAGTACATGAATTTATAAAATTGTACATTCTTTTAGTCTCAAACCTTTGAGTCATCCATTTTATGTGATTCTTTGATTGCTTTTAGTGCATGGCTCTTATTCTGAATTTTTCCATCCAACTGCTCCAGCTTCTGTTGAGCAAAGTAAGACTGATCCTTAAAAATGACGCTGTCATCACTATTAAAATCCATGTATACTTCTTCATCATCACTGTCAGGTTGAAAGAATAATAAATCTACAAAATAATAATAAAGCTACAAATTAATAATATATCTACAAAACGTTAATACTCTCCGTCAACATCAGGGTAATGTCTAAGGCACAGTAATCCCCTTTTGTAGAACTTTTTTCTTACAAGACTATAACATTTAGAGGATAGCTAGGCATTTTCTCTATATAGAGTGGAACTTCAGTATCTCTAACAAAGACACCTTGAATACTATGATTAAATTGAAGTGATTTGGAAATCCCAACCACTTTTTCTTTAAGTATTTTATCCTGGGTATCTTGAATCCTCCGATATCTCGAAGTTTTTTCTTGGTCCCATCAAGTTCGAGATAACGAGGTTTGACTGTATACTAATATGCAGAAGGCAGTTATATACCTTTTCTTTGCTCAGTGAGATCTGCTGGGGTTTCTTGCTCTAAGGACTTGATATATTTATGGTAAATATCACTGACAAGAAAGGATGGATAGTACTGCTTCTTCAAGATGTCCAATACAGTTTTCTCTCCCCTCTCAAAAGCTTCACACTCCTACAATTTAAGACTAAGATGTAAAAAAAGTACTTTTTTCTTGAATTGTACACAAAACCTACATATATACCGGTTTGTGCATTATCTGAAAATGTAGATGTATACATAGATGTATATATGCTTTATTCATTACAGTGATAGATATGCTGTTCATAAGTAAGCTATAAATTGTAAATTTGAATACAAATACATATGGTTAGCAAAAATTAATTTTCCTGTGGATACATGTACTGTAAAAAGCCTTTATGACTTACATTGTATACAATTGCTGTAAGCTCCAATCAAAAAAGATCAACATCGAATTGTTCTTTTCCATCAAAAAGCATGGACTTTAGTTTAACAGTAAACAGAAATCTGTCCTGTGTAACTTGGTAAACTTACCGGTGAGTTACCCAGTAAGAAAGACTCCATGTCCTTTACAGTTCCTCTGTCCAGCTTGACGGCGCTCGTACTACTGGCGATGTATTTGTCAAATATCTCCTTTCCCAACTGATACTGTTTCCTCTGAAAGAATAGAAAGATATCTAAACTATTGAATCTTTAATGATAAACAGAATAGTTAGCGGTAAGCACATTTTTCATGATATATTTACTAGGTATTATTTTTATAGATAGTACATGTACCTACAAATATATCAAAGGGTTCTGTCAGATTTTTGCAAGAATGAGATTAAGTCATTGAAAAAAATATACATGTACAGTGAACTATGAACTTGAGATTTACCCAAAGATCTTTTGATCTTGTTCTTCGAGTTTAAATCTTTGGGAAAGCTAGTAGAGATATATGTATAGGGTAAATTCACCATACATTAAATATATACTATGGATCAGCCAACTTAGACAAGAAGAGAGCATCAAATATATCAAAAATATTAGAATTGCTTACAAGAGGGTAATTTTCAAAATCAAATAATTTTTGTGCATATATTTTGATAGTTTTGGCTGATCTAATCAAATAGAATATGTGCTGATAAGAAATTTGAGGTGAACAGAACTGGTATCATTATTATTCTCCATGGATAAGGAAACTGATTGTCAATTAAAGAATGGCTTTGCTTTTCTTAGACCTTGTTATTCTTACCTTCTCAGCAGTTTCAAGTCTTTCTACAGCCATGCAAAATCTAGTAATGATCAAAAAGGAAACAGAGTAACTGGTTTTTATCTTCATTGTCTCAAATACAACATACAGTTGAACTGCAGTATATCAAACACTGATATCTCGAATACCTTGGATATGTCAAAGTGATTTGGAAGTTCCAATCACTTATTCCTTCAGTACTTTACCCTAGATATCTCGAACCCTCGGATATCTCGAAGTATTTTCTTGGTCCCATTGGATTCGAGATAACAAGGTTTGACTGTACAATAGATAGTATTTTTCCTTGGAATATTGGTAAACTTTCTTATAAAATTTCAAACACTGAATCCTATATGATGCCATCTTTATCACATTACACTAAATCAAATGTTTAAGTTTTATCAATTATTCAAATTACCCAAGCAATGAATGGTTGTCATCCTTTTCTAAAAATTTGAAAAATTCCATTTTAGCTTCCACTGAATCCATCACTTCTTCAAAGGACATAATCTTCACAAATCAAAGAAAAAAATGCTTAGTATTATATATTCTAAGATTTTGTATTTTTCTGTAGTATTAATTAACATATATGTATATCGATAGACTTATACATATGATCAAACTTGAAGTAATTTTATAGCCATAGAGATTTTTTTTTTGGGGGGGGGGGGAGGGGGGGTTAACATCCATGCAATCATAATCAGTACATGTACCTTGGTACTTTTGGTGACCATTCCTTCTGATTCCTCTGTTGTTTCATAGCTCTTGTAATCTGGTCCCCCTAATGCATGTATTCTCTTTTCACTGTGAACTTTGGCAATAGTAAGCTACAAGAAAAAGGAAGAAATGCCAAATATTCTATCAACTTGAGCAATGATATTTTGAAATCTATAAACATACATGTATACCAGATCAATTTTAGCATTTCCACTGAATGAATTGACCATTTGTGTATTCATTCATTCTAAGCTTTCGGGTCATGAAATATCTATTATACACATGTATGTTTCTATCTAACACCAATTAGCAAATTTAGTGCACACAAAATGAATACCTGATTTATGTATCTTTTCAAATTTCTAGCTTTTAGAAGATCCCCTTTACCAGTGGCTCGAGATGGTCCTTTTTCACCAGGTTTTAAAGGTTTTTCTAACAAAACAAGAATATTACTGTATTTAATTCACAGTAGAGGAAAAGAATTTTTCTATAGGTATTCCTTCATTATTTCCTGCTTATATAAATAAGTGTATATGAAAAAAGCATGACACTGAAAATCTTATTAATCATAGCAAATGCTAACACACCAGACAGAATTTTTGAGAGAAGGGTGCATGTAATGTATTTTCAGGTACCATAATGCTTACAAGGGCATACTGTAAATGTCCTTTTTTCCATGTGGTCAAAATTTCAGGGAATCACAATTTCTTGTCTATCAGCAGGTAGAAAATTACACTGATTTCTTAGATTGGCACTTTATGCCTTAAATATATATACTTTAGGTGCATTGTATGTTGGGACAAATTTCTGCAGAAAATTTGTGACTACAGAGTTCATAGTGTAAATTAATACCATGCTGAAATAAGTACTTCCACAGCATATTTAATTCCAACTTTATATCTCTGAAGATTTCTTAAAACTGCAGTTACAATCCGAGCAGAATTCAATCTAAACCAACAGTACCTGGAATGTTTTGTTCCTTTTTAATGTTCTGAATGGTTGTAGCATGGATGATTTCTGTCATGATATTGTATCTGGAAAACACAAAAGTACAAAATGCTGACACTGAATACATTATATGACAATATGTTGTGGAAATTCTTTTCTCCTTGAATGCATTAATTTTCAAATAACATCACTTGGTTACACATGTTTGTGTAGTATATAAAAAACTATGAAATTCAATGACTTCCCTCATTTCATTTACCCTCTTCACAAACAAAAATCTTATTTTTTGAAAGATATGTATTACAGTGTGTATAGAAAACAGATAGTACTAATTGAGTATTAAAGTGAATGTGCAGTATATTTTGATTTTAAAATTAAGCTGTTACACTGTAACCTTATTTGTTTAAGATGCTCTATATCATCACACTTGTCGATGAGTTTCACGAATTCCTCGTATGTAGCAGCGTACGTATACTTCTTACGAGTGTCCTCAGAAAGCTGTCGTCGGTAATCTATGTAGTTGATCAATTTCTGATTTATATAGTCTGGATCACACATCATGTCTACAGATGGCTTCAGAACTGGAAATACATGTATAAATACAGAACATATAACATTTTTAAAAAGATTTTCATAAGTAACGAGAGGCCCATGGGCCACATCGCTCACCTGAGTAACTTTGGCCATGCTGTTCTTTACCAGATTTCCCCCCTTGTAATACCTATTGTGGCCCCGCCTTACCCCCGGGGGTCATGATTTGAACAATTTAGAATCAATCTACAGTACCCCAGGATGCTTCCACATAAGTTTCAGCTTTTCTGGTCCAGTGGTTCTTGAGAAGAAGATTTTTTAATGACCCCACCCTATTTTTGTCTTTTTTGATCATCTCCTCTTGTAAGGGGACTTGGCCCTTTATTTTAACAATTTAAACTCCCCTTCACCCAAGGATACTTTGTACCAAGTTTGGTTAAAATTGGCCCAGTGGTTCTTGAGAGGAAGTTGAAAATGTGAAAAGTTTACAGACGGACAGACAGAAGGACGGACGACGGACAACGGGTGATCAGATAAGCTCACTTGAGCTTTCAGCTCAGGTGAGCTAAAAATAGTTATTTTTCAAACAAATATATTTCTTCATTATAATAATCAATTAGATAAAAGTCAGCAAATTTAAACAAACTTTAACAATATTGTATACGTAACAAAATTAAGAACAAACCATTTTACATAGTACTTCTAACATTCTCAATATCTCTATTGTCTAGCTTTAGACATGTACGGTAAGTCAACTATAAGAGAAGTGTGAGAAATATTCATAAGTTTCTTGACCTTCTTTAACTTGCAAATATTTCTACCTGTGACTCATTTATTTCATTTTGCATGTATATAGAAAATTTCTTCATTCAGTCATGGACAGATTTCAAACTGACAAACTGCAAGTAAAAGCTGTTGTGAAAGAGAGATATATATATATATATATATATATATATATATATATATATATATATATATATATATATATATGAACTCTGTTTAGACTAATTCACACCTTTTTTATTTTACTCAGTACACATGTACCCCTAACATTCTAACACTATCTCTAAGTTCTAGCTGTAATCCCTAGTTTTACAGTAATTTACAGTAATTCCTTACCTGACGATGTCAGTATCTCTCTCAGCATTCTCCTCAGTGTGTGACAGTGAATGTATTCCTTAGGCAGCAGTGCTATCAACAGAGATTCACAAACCTTCCTCAGAAACTCTGTCTCTGTGTCCTCATTTTCCAGCCAGGGATGAAGGATGAATTTCTTGGCTATTTTGTCATCTTCTCTGTGTAAGCCACAAATGCAAATGATGTTACATGTACATTATGCATAAATGATACAGATGAAAATATAGTAATATCCATGATTTGCTATATCCAGTTTGTTATTTATCATTTTGTTGTACTTCGGGAAAATATGACTTTGTATATCATAAGGAATGCAAATGCAGGCACATATACTGAACAAAAAAAGAAAGGTATCGTAGAAATAATTTATTTTCAATTTATTAAGTTATAGAATCTAAAACATTATTTGGTTATAATAACAAGATACCACTGTCTGACAATATTCTTTTTAAAAAGGTCATTTTAATAATCACATGGGCTTAGAACAGTTCTTTGATCTACCCTGGGGTTTTAATTGCATTTCACAAGTCAGTACCGTGTATGACCACCGCCTGCATTCAGTACTGCGACACATCTGCGATGCATAGAGGATACATATCGTCGAAATACGTGCCATGGGATATTATTCCATTCCTCTTCTAGTGCTGTCACCAGTTGCAAGAGACTCTGTGGCTGGGGTCTGCGCATCCTTACTCTCCTACCTAACTCATCCCAAACATGTTCAACTGGTGAGAGATCCGGAGATTTTGAGGGCCAGTCTAGAACATCCACGTTGTTTTGAGTCAGGAAATCTCTGGTTGTTCGAGCCGTGTGTGCTGTTGCGTTGTCCTGCTGGAATGTTAAACCAGGACCATTGGTGCGTAGATACGACAGTACAACTGGCGAGAGAATTTCATCTCTGTATCTTTGAGCTGTCAGCGTACCGTTCACTACAACAAATCTTGTGCGGTTTCCTCCACAAATTCCTCCCCAAACCATTACACTACCACCCCCGAATCTGTCTACTTCCATCACACAGCAACCAGTAAAACGCTCTCCACGTCTCCTCCAGACACGGGTTCTTCCATCGGCAAATTTCAAACTAAAACGAGACTCATCACTGAAGAGTACTCTGGACCAGTCTTGCAATCGAAAGTGCAAGTGATGCTGTGCCCAATTCCGTCGCAAGGTCTTGTGCCAATCTGTTAGTTCTGTCCCTTTGTACGGTCTACGGGCTTTCAAACCGCAATGCTTCAATCAGTTTCGCACTGTCTGAGGGCTAATCCTCCTCCCTAAAGCATTGTGAGCAGAATCTACCGCAGTAAAAAATCTGTTTCGCAGATGGAGCAAACGGATTTGCCGGTCCTACCTAAGGGTGGTAACTCTAGGTCTTCCACTGCGGGGCCGGTCATCAGTTGATCTAGTGGTCTGGAAACGTCTCCAGAGAAGGCTAATTGTCTTCTGAGTTGTTCCGATTGTCGCCCCAACAGCGTTTTGGGACATGCCTGCTTGGAGCATCCCTATGGAACGTTTTCGTTTATCTTTAGACAATCGGGGCATTTCAAAAAATGCAGAAATTTAACCAAATTTTAGATTTTCTTTGAGGACTAAAGACAAGGATTTTCTATGCCAAGAATTGTACGGATACACGTGGTCTGACTTTCTCGAGCACGGGCTTTTACCCTTTGTACTCACTTAGAGTTAAAAGGTGTTACGCTTGAATGATCAGGATTTTTTTTTATCACAATTGACTGTTGCTTACGTCTCCTATATAGGACGTTTTGTTGTAAACATTTACGTTCAAATCTAAGTAAAACAAATGTATTTTAGATATTTACCTTTCTTTTTTTGTTCAGTATACCGTATAACGGGTATTTTCTGTGGTTGGAAATTTTTGCGATTTAACCCCTATAAGGTAGCAAATTAATTTCTGGGTTTTCAATTTCTGCGGTTGGATTATACCTCAAAAATTTATTTACGGGGTATGATCACCAAACTCTAAGAATTATCAAAACTGTGACATGTTTACGTTTTATGAATTCATTATAAGACATATTGATCAAAGGTGCAAGGGAACTGGTATTAAGATATTAAGCTTAATTAAACTACTATCTTTTAGTTTAGTTAGTCTTTGTAAAATTATGTCAAGTCCCAATTGAAATGAATTATTGCAGTATCAGTCCACCCAAACAACAATCAAAATCTTTATTGTATCAGACGTTTATTTTATGCGATCTACTAAAATGTTTAAATATATAGATAATGATAATTAATGCATCCAAGCCATATTCTAAATACACTTTTAAGTAATTGTCATCAAAATTAACTGGGTGTTTAGTACCCTAAGGCTGACCGTATACAATCACAGGTGTCACGTGCATTGAGGCGTAACTTATCCTGTCAGTCGTCTGCTTTGGGTGAAATTCACGAGACAATCAAGTCATATTGTGTATACAAGCAGTAATTATGGTCTCAAGATAAAACACAAGATTGAAAAGGTGTTAAAGAAAGAAAGAAAGAAATGCTACCATGTGTTGTTTGCAGCTATTGGAGTTTGGATTCTATGATTTTAATCATTCAAATCCGTATCTAAATAAAGAAATATGAATAATAAAAGATGTTTTTTTGTATAAACTTATCAAATTAATATTATTTACAGAAAGGTTTTGATTCAATATATTTTGGACAAATCCTGACGTAAAATCTTCGAATTTCAATGAAACAAGAATTTTCTCGCTAACGAGGACGCATCCACTCATGAATCTGCGGTTTCATCATTTTTAAGAACCTTCAGTCCCAAATAATTTTGCTGCATCCAGTACGCAGGTTCTTGCATTAATGAGAACCCTGTGACATACGCACCACTTATCATACTTGCATGTATAAAATATCTGAATAAATATTGAAAAATATTTTGCGATTGTAATTTTTGCGGATTTGTCCTATCCGCAAAATTCCGCAAAAATTGGACAACCGCAGAAAATACCCGTTATACGGTATATGTTTGCCACAAGCGCTTTAACTGTGATCAGAAGACTTCAAATAGTGTCTCATAAAACTATGGAATGATTAGCAAAGCATCCATAGCTACAGGGATTGATTTAAACTTAATACTATTGTAGTCAAAAAACAAATTTGTATTTGTGAAATTTCATCTATGATGACAAACACTGTTAGAACAACAAGATGGCCAGATAATTATTTTGGTCTTACCTTTTTCTGTATTCTCTGATCTCCTGGAAATGTTTGTGGATTTTCAGCACCACTTCTTCTGTAATCAGCTTCATTTTGTCAATCTTCTTCAGTCGATTTGTCAAAGACTCAAATATCACCCAAATGTCACTTCTAAAATGATATGTGGTAAATATACACTGACTATTGATTAGCTCTGAAAAAATATTTCACTCTGAAGAAAAAAAGATAGTGGATACATGTACACTTGTCACATACATGTACCAGTACATGTGAGCTGCTTATAATTGTACTGTAGAAAATGAATGTTATTAAAATTTAGTATTTACTCAACTGTACTTATTCAAATTCGAGGACAGATATTTTTAAATCTAAAACATGTAGTTGTACAATGATGTAAGATTGCAATTGAATTTTTTGAAAATTTAATCTCGCTTATAAAAACCAAATAACTATCTTGCGAAAATAAGGTGTCGCAAAATTTTCTTCTACAGTGCATACCTTAGAGAACCTATAAAAGCTTCATGGTCCTTAGAAAGATCAGCATACCATGACATGATATAGTCTCGCATAATAAGGTCTAGCACTTCCTGTAAAGCGCCATCTACATTTCTTGTAATCACTACTTTCTTTGTCTCTGATTTCTTCTCATACCTTTTTTCCTACAAGTAATCCATAGATCCATATCATATAAAATATCACATAAAATATCATAGCCCAATGGTCAAGTCAGATATGTAGCTAACACAGCTAGAGGTCAGGGGTTTGAATCCCAACTTTTGTTGTTTCAGTCTTTGGAAAAAGCACTTTATCTGATATAGCAACATGCTCAAAACGTAATGTCTCATCTAGAATTATTCTAGAATAAGTACACAAATGACAAACACATGTATGTATGTTATTGATGTACCTTACATTCGAAACTAACAAGAATGGACATGTGGCTTTAAAAAGGATTTTTTTTTCAAAGAAAGAAAAATAAACAAATAACTGTGAATAAGTTTAAGTCTGTTACTATTTATTCATCCATAAAAAAAAACAGGAATCAATCTTGTTTTTAACAATTAAGGTACGATGATAGTTTTTACTAACTCTATAACATGCACGTATTTACATCAACATTAACCTCAACTATTATATTGTACAAATTTAATTTACCATCAATTTGATGAGTTCCTGTGCCATCTTTGACTCTCTGGGCTGGGCAGCTGGCTTGTATGTCTTCCCCTGGACAAGAGACCAGGTGACACCTAGGTAGATACCTAGTACAGCTATCATACAATGAACCAACACAGACAAGACTGTTCCAATGACCTCATAGTGATAACCAATTGCCAAAACTGCTATCCCACCTCCCAAAATGATGTATCTTGTTGCAGTCATCTTTCTTCAGCGTATCTTATTCATCTACCAAAAGAGCAAAACTTTCAGTGTTAACCCTCAAGAATAATTCATTACTTTTTGATTAATAAAATGCATGATATGTATGTATAATGATACAATATTAATTAGTTATAAGTATAATCTTGATACATACGCTGTCTCTCTTGTTAGACATTGCAAATGACTATATATTCAATGATATTTTTTGGTTACAATGACAAATTCTTTCCATTATACAGGTGATTCTCGATGTCTCAAAGTTCAAGGGACCGTAAGAAAAGTTCGAGAGATTGAGGGGTTAGAGAGATGAAAAGTGAATAAAATCCGGAATTTTCAGTTCCGATCATCATTCCACTACATGTGTTATAGATACTGGAAGTATAAGTTGATAATATCAAGTTGCCCGTTTTCATTCGTATTTTACAGGTAATTCACTTGAATTCAACAACAATGATCGTAATCTATTTTGAATAAATAAAATGATTTCTTTAAGTTTCAACATCTATTTGTTCTCACTTCATGATTACATGAAACTGTTAACTGAATAGCAATTGTCGATGTGGCTACTCGCTGGGCTTGATCGGGTCCTTCACCAGGTTGCTCATAATAAGTATTCAATTCTTAATTGAGATAGGATTTCACGTGCATTGCAATGTTTGTCATAATGGGATTGTGTAGACTCTAATAAAAGTTTATAATCTATGAAAAATTATTGACACGTCTCCTAATCATTTTCTCAAAATCAAGTAAAAAAAAAATAGAGAAGCGATTAGTTTATAATTTACCAATTAATTGTATCAACACTCGGAAGGCTCACAGGTGTAGTGCCATCTACGTAAACACCCAATTAACACGTTCATGCCAGCCTCAGGTGTTCACTGTTATCCAGGGAGTCCAAGCTGTATTAATTTCATGCTTGATTGGCATGTATACATGCGCAATCAAAACTTCGAGAGATAGGGAGTAAAAAACAATGAAATGTGTGTAACAGGACCCAGGCCTTGGTTCGAGAGATATAGAACTTCGAGAGATCAGGAGTAAATTTACTTAGTTATATAGAGCAAAAAAAAAAACGGGACTGGAGGTTCAATTCCAGAGATCGGAGTTCGAGCCATCGAGGGTCAACTGTATATTTAAAAATACAAGATAAATATACAACTGAAAATTATTTTTAGTCAGACAGTGGGAATACTTTTCCACCATTTGCTAGAAAAATTGAGGAACGTCCTTTATAAATGTATGTATAAAAATAATATTTTAAAAAAAATTAGTGACTATCAATTTTAATAATTTTCTCTCGATTGTCTTGGACGTGCTGCCTTCAGCGATGATTTTTCAATAGTCTGCGACTAGTACTGTATAGGGGATTAATTTCACCGGTTGTAATTTTCACGTTTTTCTCTCCTCTGACACGATCGCGGTTTGTTGAATTCGCGGAATTGGTATAAAATAAAAGTTACCTCCCTTGTCTATGTCTATTTAATCCATAGCATAGCTAGAACGAAATTAATCAGTGTTATGTATTCACTTCACGAACAACAGGGTAAGTTTATATAAAATAGTTAGATTTAATAATCAATTGACGACTAATTAAAACAAGTGCAGTTATTAAAAGTCCTTGACTATAAACGTCGAATGACTTTCCTATATACTATTACGATGAGTGCATGTACACCCCAAGATCTACTTTCCGAAGGGATAATACATCACGGCGAAAAACCACTGGACGGTTAGAAATGTATCAACGAAATAATATCCTTACACATCTTCAGCAAGTTTGATGGTTATTTGAATTTTTAAAAACCAAAATGTCTATAAAAACTAATACGCATGATAATGCAGGTAACAAATACACGGGGTAACATAGTTACGCACGGGTAATCAAAACTCATGACCCACGTGATTTGATTGATGAAACGTACATGTAGCGTTGGCTATTAAAAACAGCTTTTTAACAAATACAGGGTATTATCTGCTGATCGAAGTTAAAGTAAAGCGCGATAATTAAAATAATTGAATGACAAGTACTACTCACAATTTTACTGAAATGACCATGTACTGCACGTATATATATACCTATCGTAGTCTATTCTCAAATTTCCAAATATAACATTGAGTTTATTGAAAACTTATTCACTGTTTCTTGAATTCACGGATTTATTAACACCGTGAATATAGCGAATATTAACACCGCGAGTTATTTCCCCCTATACAGTATTTGTGGATATATCAGTGGGAAATGTATAATATATAATTTCCTAATGTAATTTTGCTTGGGACGAGGTGTCTTAAATATGGGCCGACCTGTCTTAAATCTTGGACCGACCAGTCTGAACCGAGGTGTCATTTGCTTTGATCAGTAGGATGTCCATGGGCCGAGGTGTCCGACGGTGTCGTTGGGCCACTGGCACTAGAAGTAGGTTATGAAAATATTGTATGCCGATCCCGATGTGCATTTAGAAAAAAAGGTAGCCTACATCTAAACTAGATGATATATTCTGTTATGGTGTCAAAATAGTCTTTTCTTTCATTTAGTTTTTATTTTTTTTTAAATATTGAGGGCAAAAAAACCTATTCAGTTTTAATCTAGATTGGGCTTTTCAAACCGCACGTGACAGTTGGCACACTCTATATAAACTTCAATTTAATATTAGATATCTAAATTATATTACTGAAAGGATTCAAAAGAATCTGCTCGTTATTATTATAAGGACGCATAGTCTTTACTTGAGCTTATCGATCTCCGTTCCGGTCAATGAACTTACATTAAGCATACATACATGTACTTGTACATGTACTGGTCAATGGGAAATTGAAATTATTTATATGTTGTCATTGAACAGGTCTTTAGCAGTTTTTTAAACAGTTTCAAGCACTTTGGGTTTTGCTTCACATTTTAAACTTCCTATGCTTGGAAGAAAACAGTTTTCCAAAGCAGCTTTCTAAGCAATATAAGCGGTTTCTAAAGCAGTATATCCTCAGTCACTCTTACAAATTTGATCGGGATCGGGAGAAAATTCAATGTCGGGCTCAATGATCAATAAATATAAACAAAAGCTACCGCGAAAGTACGTACTAGGTACTTGACATAAAATACATTCAGTGATTTACTCTTCAGACATGGTATTACATGCATATGTGCGTAAAAGAAATAGTCATGACGAGTAGTGAGGAAGTAGACACTTCGTTATCAGGTAGCAATGATACAGGATCATCATCAGTTGCCTACGGCGGCAAATACATGCTCGTCAAAAAATTTCCGAAGAGAGCGCCAGACTGGAGATTAGAACATCTCGCAGAAATCTGCATTTTCTATGATGAAGAGGCCACCGAACTTAAAAAATTTATGACCAAACTTAGAAAACTGAAATGTGTTGTTCGGAGTGGACTGTCAGAAATGCCAAAAATTAGTCATGCCTTCATAAAAAACACCAAGGAGGTGTGGAATTTTTCTTATGTGTTTCAAAAAGAAACGGGGGAAGAGAAATGGGATGTTAGGGATGAAATTGAGAGAGCGACACGTGAATTTGAAGAGAAAGAAAATGACATCATGGAAGATATAAAGTCAAATGGAAGCAATAATTGGAAAAGGTATTGATCCATTGAATCCTGTTAAATGCTGGTATTGATTTGCTGTGATTTTCATTTTTTGTGCTATTGATTTGATGGTTTGGGGTTGTGGATATTGGCTTGACTATAGCTAGTGATGCAGGGGTTCTGGACCTGATTCCTTGTCCAATCATTCATTTTCTGTTCAAGTTATAAATCTGATTTTGTACTAACTGTGCAAGCTAGCTTTTTAAGAAAGATGCAGCCTTCAAAAATTCCAATCTAATTTTTAACATTTCTCAGTTGAGTCATAGTTGATCAGATGAATTCATAGACCTTTGGCCTCATGTTTTATTATTTAGGTTATTTTTTGGATGGAAGATCAATCTTTTTGAGTTCTGGAGACAGTTTTCAATGGTTCTGGAAAGACTCGGAGGAGCAACAGAAAAAAGGTTTAAACACCTTTTTATGGCTTTTTCCAGAATATTTTTCCTTTCACCAGAGTAAGTATAATACAGTTTTTCATGAACTGAGAATTGTCAATAAAATTTGAATTTCAAACTTTGATTAAAATAAATTTGCAGTTAAAAATCCACGTTATGCTAAAAAAAAAAAGAAAATTGGTATTAACATATTTTGTTTTGGACAAAATGTGTGTTGTTTAAAATGCCATTGTTGTACTGTAAAATTGAGATGGTCTATTCTTAAACATGTGCTGCTGTATATTTCATATAAAAATAAACAAGGTACTTTTTTTTAATCCGGTAAAATTAGACCTTTAATAAGTATTTGTTGCTCGTTTGAAGTCTAATTTTGATTAGATTGAAATTTTTTGTGCCCCACTTTATCTACATGTACCATGGTAACTACGGATTTATGATAACCAGAATTTTTTTTCTGAGAATCACCCATCATGTTTCTTATTATTATTCAGGCCAGGTGAGGCTTTTATAGAAAACATGATCATCAAAGATACTGTCGTCCGTGGCAGTCCAGAAGTTCGTTTTAAAACTTTTCAAGACAAGATTTTAAAGGTGTTTATTGTCACAGAGGTAAGATACTTTAATTTTACAAATGACAAATTTTTAAGTTTAGTAACCATAGTAATACAGTCTTCACCGAAATCATAAACTGTAACCTTTCAGCCATATAAACTGTGTTATAAAAAGAGTGAAAGTTTAAAAAAATGTATGGTAAATAATGAATGCTTGGCACACACAGGAAAATATGTATAATATTCAATCATCCAAAATGAACTAAAATTTTTGTCTGATAAAAAAGTAGACTTCACCAAGAAAACATAACTGTACTTATGCATTGTATATCAGTTTTTAGTTTTGTTGAACAAAGCTTTAAAAGTTACTAAAAATTTAAACCTGTGTTAATTTTTTTTAAAAGTTTTACTTTTCCATCAGTTTTGCTCCAGTATGAATGAAAATTTATAGGAATGTACCACACTTATGGAAAAAATTACATGAATATATTAGGTCACCTGAGTCATGCAGGTGATCTATTGCTATCCATTTTTGTCTGTCGAGATGTAATAATATGGGGTTAAAAAATATATTTTGTTAATAGTCTGCATGTTAATACACTGTATTGATAAATTGGGGACAGATATACATGTATACTAGACCAATTATTTTGTTGATCCTAATCATACTATTTTTCTTGTTTTGGGGCAACAAAACTTCATGTATCAGTTTATAGATCTTCTAAATTGTTTTACTCAGGTGACCGTTAAGACCCTTGGGCCTCTTCATCTTGTATATTTTTTTAATTTATTGGGTTCACTAAATTATTAACAGTTATTGAGTTACTGTATATGTTACCCAGACCAAACTCGCATGGATATTGCATCATGTATATATAGATTTATTCATGTATTTGAATTTTCAGGTTGAGCCATATGATGCTTTTGAAGGAAGCTACAAAACAGAGACTTTCACATATAAAAATATGGCCAAAAAAATTCTAGGTCAACATGGAATTGAGCTACTCATGGAGAGGAAGGGATCTTTCTTCTTTCCTTATGTTGTGGGGTTTCTGTGTATTGGAACACATGTAAGCATGCTGTGTCGATCTTTACACATATTTTCAGGAATATGAACCAGAAGTATTTTTTTAACTAAAATTTAATATAACATGTTGTCAGGTCACAGAAGGTATTCATTATTGATGTTCAGTCATTATTTGTCCATCATTCTGGCCTTTGTTAATGCTTGAAATTTTGACATCTTTTCAATCTAACTTGAAGAAAGGAATTTCAAATTGATATACGGTAATGAAAGACTTTTGTCCCAAGAGAGTGTAGTTTTTAGATTTAGTAAGAAATAGGGTCAGTGTGATCTTGAAAAAAAAAATATTTAAAATAAATATCCATCTAGGACTATATTTAAAATAAATATCCAACTCGGACTATTTGTCTAAGAAGCAAATGAAATGAATTTGACATGACACAGCAGCCTCTAGAAATAAAACTTAAGGATAATGACATAGTACATGTACATGTGTATAAAATTCTTACGACTGATTTATACAGTAAAACATGCTTATAGGGAAATGCCAGAAACAAACATCTTTGATTTGTTATAAACATAATTCTTAAGTTTTAAATGTTAAGTTCACAATAAACTTCTAAACCACAGGGAATAAAAATCACTTTGCTATTAATAGTATGAATTCCTTTAAGCATGTTCGCTGTAACAATGTTTTACTGCATTAGGTTACTATTACATATATTTCAGGTCATTTTGACATACCTGTACATTGATGAAGCTCACTTTCATCAGATAGTGGAGAAAGGAAGGGTAAATAAATCATGCAAAGCCACTATATCTTACACCAGACCATATGATTTCATGGACACTAATGATAGAGAGGAAATCCTAGAGTCTTTCTTCTGGTTTGGATTTGTTCAGTCAAATGCTTACCAGTTTAAATGGAAATAGATGTAAAGGCCATTTGAAATAATATAAACTTTGTTTGCCCTCTCCCAACCAAGGGTAAAAAAAATTGGGTCGGTAGGTACGTGGGAAAATTTTTTCCCTAGAAAATTTCAAAATCAATGCTTAATTTTTAAATATACATGTATTAAATTAAATTTTTTTTAAAAAAAATATCGTTTCCTGGAGATTAAAAAAAAGTATATATATATATTTAAAAAAAAATGTTGTTTATTAATAAAAAATATTTAAACTATCACCCTGAAAATTTATAGTAGAAATGTGAGAAAGCAAACCAAATCACAAGTATTGCCATTCCATGTTCATGCAGTGATGTGTGCAGAGCAAACAATTGAAATGTAAACATTAACAATAACAGACCTGATGTCTATGTTTACAAACACAGGTGTTTGACGTGATGTTATGAAGAACATTTTTGTCATTGAATTCTCTAAGAATTTTCTTGTTAAGTTCAATTCATTAAATTGAGGTTATTTTTTGAATAAGAACAGAAATTCATAATTTGAAAAAAAGGTAATGCAACTGTGTCCATGCATGCAGGCTCCTTTAATGTGTTCAAATCAAATTTATGCTCTTTTTTTTTTTTTTTTTTTTGTAAATGGGAATAAGTGATTAACAGCAAGTAATGTCTGACTTATGTTACAACAGTGTGATTAAATAAATAAAATTGAAACATTCTATGTTGAGTGTCTTTAAAGAAGAGGTTTACACCACCAATCCTTAAAATCGGACATCTCTCAAATTGGGTGTTTGGCACCATAGATACTGGTAATTCTGACTGCGATGGTCTGAGTTTACTTCAGAGAGCTAAAAATTATGGATGAAAATTCATTTCTGAGAAAAATACCTATGGCTAAACAAAAGAATTAAGATTCAATATTCAAGATGTTTAAAAAAAAAACACACAATAGACTGAGAATGTCCATATCTAATGATAAACAGATGCAGATACATGTAATACACTTTTTCTTCTGATATACATGTACTACATTTCAAGTTAAGTCAGCCAGGTGTCTACAATTCTCTAAAAGTGGCCTTGAACTTGCCAAAATGATCTTGATTCAATGTCAACGAAGATACACCTTATGATCAGGCCTTCAGTTATCCTTGAGTGAAGTATCATCACCCAATACTTTTCTTTCAATTAATTAATTTAATTTTATTACTTTAATATGTAAATTCAATTTTATTGGTTTGGACATCAGGCATATATAGCCTATGTAAGTCCTATCCATGTGTACTTTTCTGTCAGAGAGCTAAAATAGAACAGTAATTTTTCTTATTATGAAAGTAACCTTGAAGAACTCCAAAAAATTCGCCATTAAAAATTTATAAACAAGACAAACCTTACAGTTTTTTTTCTGCCTTGAACCTGTACAAATGACCCTGGGTCAAGGTCTGATCATGTACTTTCATGTCATCTTTCAAAACAGAGAGACTTGAGTAAGTCTATGGTCGTAAATATTTTAGTACTGATCAGGCCCATAGAACACCTCCCCCTTTTTTCTGAGTATATAGTACTAGTATTTTGCTATAGTAAATTTTCCTTTAGATGCTGCTTGGTTGCCCCCCCTCCCCACTTTTTGTTGTTGTAAGGTCGAGCATTGGGAAATTCAAGGAATTGGTGAGTAAATTAGGGGTTTTTTTTGCTTTCAGCCCTCCATATATGGCAAGAATTTAGTGCTGACTTTCACCTACGTTCAATTGTAACCAGTAACACAGGTTACATAGCCTTTTCACTGGGGAGCATTTATTCAGTTTTTCATTGGTTACACTGGTTACAAAGGTTACAGTGGTTACACTGGTTACAGTGGTTACAAAGTGATTAGTTCTTATCTTCATTTGTAACCAGTAACACAGCTTCTGGTGAACAGGTCAGCATTTTTCATTTATTCAGTTATTAATTGGTTACACTGGTTACAATGGTTACAGTGGTTACATCTGTATCTACAAGTTCCTACTTGGATTTTATATGATTTGTCACCAGAAGAATATAGTTGTAACTAGTGTAACCTAAAAATAAAGACCCCTTTCAGTTTCAGATGATCTGTAACCATTGTAACCGACTGTCACCAAAGGAATATAGTTGTAACCAGTGTAACCTAAAAATAAAGATCCCTTTAGGTTTTAGATGATCTGTAACCATTGTAACCGATTGTCACCAAAGGAATATAGTTGTAACCAGTGTAACCTAAAAATAAAGACCCCTTTCAGTTTCAGATGATCTGTAACCATTGTAACCGATTGTCAGCAAAGGAATATAGTTGTAACCAGTGTAACCTAAAAATAAAGATCCCTTTAGGTTTTAGATGATCTGTTACAGTAACCATTGTAACCGATTGTCACCAAAGGAATATAGTTGTAACCAGTGTAACCTAAAAATAAAGATCCCTTTAGGTTTTAGATGATCTGTAACCATTGTAACCGATTGTCACCAAAGGAATATAGTTATAACCAGTGTAACCTAAAAATAAAGACCCCTTTCAGTTTCAGATGATCTGTAACCATTGTAACCGATTGTTACCAAAGGAATATAGTTGTAACCAGTGTAACCTAAAAATAAAGATCCCTTTAGGTTTTAGATGATCTGTAACCATTGTAACCGATTATCACCAATGGAATATAGTTGTAACTAGTGTAACCTAAAAATTTTAAGACCCCTTTTGGATTTAAATGACCACCATCTTTAATTGAGAGATATATGTAACCTATGTTACTGGATTAAATAGTCTTGTAACAGGGTTACAATTGAACATAGGTGAAAGTCAGCACTAATTTCTTGCCATATCTAGCCCCCCCCCCCCCCCCACTTTTGGTCAGTTTAGGTTTTTTTTCAGATTTTTTGGGGGGTCCCCCTTCTGAAACCGTTTCTACGGGCCTACTTATTTAAAATAAATTATGTTTGATGAAAGTAAAATGTAATGAAGGGCTCTAGATTCAAGATAGTATGTATAGTTTGGCGCCAATGGCATTGTGTACTATTTTTAGAACCAGCGCGTCATGAACGCCCGGATGTACTAATAAACAACATGCATTGTTTGATGCCGGCTGTGCGATCCATAAGCTGATGTTTACAAGAAGAATATTAAATAAAGCTAGAGAAAACAATCATATACGTTGTTGAAACGAAATCATGGCGCATCAAAACGAAGTTCAAACATGGTCTTTGTCCGCAGAGGAGTTGTTCCAACGACATTTTCCCCTACACCAAGCATGCCGCAATGGCGACTTGGAAAAACTGTCGATTTTATTATCCGGCGGAAATGCCGAGTTCTACGAAGAGGACAGTTTTTACGGATGGTCTCCGTTACACTGGGCAGCAAATTTTGGAAAGGTGATAAATGTGACGCATGTCATTTTATTTTTCCTTATAATTATCAAGATTTTGAGAGAGGTATTTTTTCAGTTACCTGGTAACAGCGATATCTGTTTTAATTATTACGATCAAATAATGTACATTGTAGATTAGCTGCATGGAATTAAAACTTTCCTTGCTCGGATATAAACAAAGATTACTTTTGTGGGTACTGGGTTAATAAAGTACACTTTTTTAAATTAAACGGGTTAATTGTATCTACACGGTTTTTTAAAGTCGCTTGGATGCCATCTTTGGGGAAAAGCAGAAAATTGTCACAGTTGTTTGTTTGCAACTTTGTCATTTGACATATGAATGATTGTTACATCCCATATTTGATTGTCTTTTGATGAGGCTACATCAAAAAATGAAATGAAAAAGATTTATTTACCTTATGCAAAGTGTAGATTGCACCATAATGTTAAGTCACGTAGCATGTAAAGGAGCATTTGAAGGGAAGGACTTCTCTTGAAGGAATATAGTGGAAGAGAAATATTTTGCATGGTGAAAAATTATATATCATACTAAAAGGAGGGTTAGCCCCCTCTTTCATTTTGAGAATAAAATCTATATCATAACAATGGCAAAATAAAAATGTTAATTGTATTTATTGAATGTAAGCATACATTTCTTTGTAACAATGACGCTGTGTCTGTGATACATTGCCTTTAAAAGAAAAGAATTTGAAAAATGTCAGCATGTCCTTATTTTAGCTCACCTGCCTGATCAGATTAGTACAGAATGGGGCGAACTGTGATGTTCCCACTGAGCGGACCAACATTACCCCATCCCATGTTGCTGCCGAAAGTGGAAAAGGGCACTGTTTATCCTGGTTGCTTCAAAACCATGCCCTCATAAATCGACAGGTAAAAAATGATATTGTTTGTGCTAATTGACCTTTGTTTTCTTTTTCTCCCCCTAGCTGGCTTGTCTGAGGAAACTCTCTAGTCTCTCACAATATGGGTGTGACAATGTGTCCTCCAAGTTCCAACAATCTCCGCTTCATCTGGCGTGTTGTGCGGGTCACCCTCACTGTGCTCAGTGGCTAGTCCAGTCAGGTGCTAATATAGATCGCCAGGTATTGTGCTCTGTTTTCAGCCAGTTCCAAAGAGAGTACAGCATGGTGCTAATATCAGTGTGATAAAAATACAAAGATTTTTGTTCCATTTCCTATATGACTCCCTGAAATATTGGGGAAAAGTTTAAAGAGGTAGAGAAATCCCTGAGACAACTTTAAGGGACATTGAGTTTGATCAAATCAACTTTAAAACAGTTACATGTAATCATATTTGGATGTTGCCTAGATCTGCTTTATACATATAATACACTGTATTCATGAATTTAAAATGAGTAATGCTTAATACATAATTATAAGAAATAAATGAATATAAGAAAATGATTTGAAGAGTTCATACATCTATAAACTTGAGTGGTAGAAAATAATATATAAAATGTTTTTTAAAGATAATTCTGTTTTATTTTTATTGGAGAGTTAAATTATCAACAGCAGAGTAAATTCTTTTTTATTCAATTTTGGTTCAGAATATGAGGATTTTGTTGTACTTACAGGACTATTTGGGTGATACCCCAACACACAAAGCTGCCAAGAAAGGACATATGGAGTGTGTCAGTCTGCTAGTATCCCAGGGTGCAAGTTTATGGTAGGACATTGTTTGAGTTTATAAGTCTTAATAAGCTAACATATAAACAGTCTTGCAAATTATGATAATCTAAGTCTCAAGTTGCTTCATTTCTCATAAAAAAAAAAAAATGGCCAAGAAACTAAGTGTTAGGATTTATTATTATTTTTTTTTTTTTTGAAACTCAGTTTCATATCCATATAGATTACTAGAGGAATACAACTTCTGCTGAATCGTCTTCCTGATTTTTTTTTTATTTTTATGTACTTGGCTTATTTTACTTTCAGTTTGCTCAATCATAGTCACTGTACACCTAGTCAAGCAGCAGCAGAAAATGGTCACCTTGAGTGCGCTCAATACATTGAAAATGCTGCCAAACTGCAGGGTCAAGGGCAACTGCCCAAGACTCACTGTGTTACTATGCAACCATCGCACCTACTGCATGGTCAGATGGAGCACATAGTGACCGACATGGCTTATCAAAATGGTCACTTCTCTGATGGCCCCTGTCCTATTGATAATGGCATGGATATGTCAGGGGATGGACCAATGGTTGGCATGAAGAGGGGGCGAGATGAATTCTGTGAGGAGGATTCCTTCAAACGAATGAGGAAAGGGGGTCAGTATTGCTGTGTCTTTCATATTGAGGACATTGTGTACCTATTTTTTGCTATTGTCTACTTGTGTAAACATCTAACATCAAATTACTATTACAGACAATGTTTTGTAGTGTTATGTAAAACCTGAACATATGAGGGGGGAGCAAAAAAGTTCTGAGACTTTTTTTCATAAAGCAAATACATGTAACATGCAAGCCACATGAATGCTATTTTTCATACTTATAAATCAATGAACATTAATGTTTATTTACAAAATATTTTTCAGACATTGAAGATTATCAATCTTCAATATGGGAATATTTTATAAATTGTATTACATCATCTTAAAATCAGTATATAAATTTTGTATAAAACAATCTCATCCAAACATGGATTCATTTCAAGAGAAATATCTGGAGACAGAGTCTATTCATTTTTGCAAATTACACAGGAGAAATGAAGAAATAAACTGGATTAAATAAAATATGTTCAATAAACTACCAGTATATATATATATATATATATATATATATATATATATATATATATAGTTTTGTGCCATGCGGATTGTGGGATATTTTGTGTCTTTTTCACTCACGTTGTGGGTATCATGGATGGTTTATGGGTCATTATATATTGACCCACAAACCATGTGCCTAAAAATTTGTTTATGACAATAATATAGTTACTATTTTCATTTTTTACAAAAAAAAATTTTTTGACCCATAATTACACACTCAAAAAATGACCCACAATGCAAATATATATATATGAAATCTTACCACTCTGTGGATTGGCAGAATTTCGCGCGTGACCCACAATTTTTTATATACTTCCCCATGAGTATTGGAGGGATTATGGGAAGCAGCTAGATTTTATAGCCTAATTGCAGTGAATCATTATCAGATTGTAACGCATTATTTATTTACATGTATGTCATGCCATGCATGAGCTTTTGCTTTTAATGTAATACATTGTATAAATCTAGAAAAAATAAGGTTAAATAATTTTATAAGTTTTAATCGTACTATAGTTGTGTTCTTCCGAAAGTCTATATAATTATTCAGATATGAAAGAAAGCTTCAAGTATATCATTTTATAAGATATAATGACTTTAAAATGTTACTATAAAGAAGGCGCGTTACCCTGATGTGAACAGTGAAGTTTAAGTAATAAAGGAATATGTCAGTATGAAGTCGCAGAAAATCATTCACAACTCAAGGATTATTCAGAAAAAAATTATTACGCGTTAAGATTTTAGGGAAGTGTAATCAAATCAACAGTGATTTTAATATTTGATAGATAGACAAGTACAACTGTACATATCCCACGATGTTCTTTATATCAATATATTGACCCAGAATGATGTATAGTTGCCTGTAATTTGATCCCGCAATATTCTATATCTATATATATGTACATATAAATGACCCATAATTATCCGATACATGCATTACATGTACATGTAGAACCTTGATATAGATATATAGATATATTTATGTAATATATGTGTTTGTAATATTAACATATTTATGTGAGAGAAAGAGATAGGAGATTTGGGAACAAAAAAAATTACGTCTAAAACGTATTGAATAAAACAAGTAATTCAAAATAGGACAATCACTAACCATTTTACTCGCTAAATAGTCTCGAGTATTTGCTTTAATCCTCCCACGGGATGAACCTCTGCCATTCAGTCGATTGAATGGTCCCTGAAGGTTTGAAAAGGTGACCACTTCGCGGTTTATAAAGCGTAAACTGCCTAAACCCAGTATATATCCAACAATGTTCTTTTACTTTTTTGGATATATACGTATATCTTTATACTTATATACTATCCCACAACAATATACTCGTACTGTACATTGATCCCGCAACATTATATATATACAAATTAATGACCCACAATTATATCATACATACATTGTACCTAAATATTGAATTATATAAACTAGCTAATTAAAAATAGATCAATTAATGACATAAAATGTCTCTAAAATTTATCTTAAAATAAAAGGGTGGATCATGATGTTGGATTAAGAAATATATACGCATGTTGATCTGCCACTTACAAGTCTTCAGCATCTGACCAGATATTTGTTTTGTAAGACATAAACACAGCGGTTCTTAATCAATGGAAAGTTTTGCACCAAGAAACTTCTCGCACTAGATCATTTTGCTTAGTAACTTATATTATAGAGATACATTGCTTCCAGTCAAAAAGGCTTTGTTTCGGGATAGTGTATTTTGTGTATTGAGTGTTTAAATTCAATAATTATATTAAAAATCGGAAATCACTGAAATCCACAGTTTTTTTTAAAATCATATTTCACTTTACATAAAAAACAAGGGATGACACTCGACATCTTCGATACCAGGAAGTGCCTCGGTCCACATTATAAATAGGCGTCGGCGGAACCGGGGGGGGGGGGGGGGGCTAGGGGGGCTTAACCTCCCACTTTTGTGCTAAGATATACATAATATAGGCGTTAAAATTGGGGCTTACATTTTTTTTTTAAGATTTAGCCCCCCCCCCCCACACACACACTTTCAATTAGCCCTTCACTTTAATTTTCTTTTGACGCCTATGCTATACAATTATTTAAGGTAGATCGCGGGTTTGCTGACGTCACAATAGGATTCAACGTAGAAAGCCTATCGCGTTTACGTATCAAACTACAAACAAGCAAAAAATATCTTCAGCAGTATACGGTATTATATGAAACATACAGTAAAGCTTGTGTAGTCTGTAAAAATATTTATTCATTTATAATTATAGCTAAAGGATGGATCATTAACTAAAATAAGAGTGTTCTTTATGTTGGAAAATTCAGGGGCTAAAACTAATTCTGTTTATCAAAGTAAAACGCAATAATTCCTCATTCTTTGCATATATAATTGTCATTCAATTTATTTTTGCGGAATTAAAAAATTACATCATTTTTAAAAAGAAAATTGCGTCACAATCAACAAACCATCAAAACTTTTTCGCAATGAACATAAAGGAAAGTTTGTGTAACAGGGAAAGAATAGCAAGCTTGAATAACTTGGTTTTTAAAACAAAAAACACAACACAAAGAAAAGTCGGAAGATGCCCCCGCACTTGCAAAATACTGCATGGACGAAAATTCATGGGAGGCAGGGAGGCGAGTAGTTGAATTGAAATTGTTGCAGAGGGATTGAAAGAGTGTGTATTTTTCAATTAACCTTTACATCTCTTTTCTTGCACTGGTGAAAATAAAATACGGATTTGCATCCATTCTCTATATAGAATATCAGTAAGTGCGACAAAACGAATTCCGTGTCCACAGGAACACGCCACAACACAAATGGCAAAGGACTGTTGCTTTGACATCAACACCAAACTGGCACAGTTTCGCGAATTATGTTATTTGATTTAGTTTATTTCAGATCAGTTTAACACAGATTAAAATTCCCAAAGTGGAAACTTGAACAACACCCCTCCCCCCTTTACCCCCGGAATGGCGTGTCAGCAATGTTGAGGTCAAGGCAGTCCTTTACATGTAGTCCTTCACATGATATATGTATGTGTACCCTTCTAAGATGTCATTATGTTGATACAATACAAAGGCTGATCCAGCGCCGGAGTGTCAAGCGCCTGCCCTCCTATTTGATGATTTATTCGGTACTTTTGTAAAATTTGTTTTGTTTTGTTTAAGTCTACATGCTACTTTACGTGACTAGATATTAATTTGTTTTACACATAAGGTTACATATCTCTAAATCATTATTACAAAGTTATTATCTTGATGAAATGCACACTTGGAATTTGTAATATCTGGAATTTGATTTTTAAAGATCAACACTATTGTCTTAGCCATGCACAGTTATGTGAAAAAAAATAGTATGATCATATCTACATGTGGGGGGGGGGGGGGTGTCAGTGATGAATTAGAAAATTCTCAACAAGGGAGGCGTTCATCAATATAGTTTTGAGGTGATTTTGTTTTTAATCATATGTAGAAATGTAGAAATCGATTCTAAAAAAGAAATAAAAGTAGTTAACATCATGAAATAAAATATATGTACGTTCTAAATTGCCATCCAATAGTGATTCGCATTACATGTAGATAGTGTTGTGTGTGTGGGTGGGTGGGGTCAAGGCAAGAGTTGTCCCTCTCATTCTGTAATTTCTGGATCCGCCACTGTAATACTTGATTTATTTAGAAGTCATAAGCTGAAAACAAACATGCTAAACTGATCAAAATTGGCCAAATTCCCATTGGATAAGACGTCCTTTTCTGTAGAATTTTTCCGCATTGCTTGAGTTTATTGAGGGAAAAAAATCATATGACTTCTCTCCTGTGTTTCATTGAAATAATGTCACGCTGTGGGTAAAGTATGGCAACTTTTACATGAACATTATCATCAATCAATAAAAATTGAATTTACGGATAACATGCTTTATTTTGAGTGAGTTGTTGATTAATTGATATTTTTTTCTGGTCACGCAGGTATACGAAAATAGTGATGTCGCACTAACGTAATATAACGTCTTGATGAAAATACAATGTTTGATGGAAAATTGTAAAACTTTAAAGTTCTTTTTCGAGAAATTGAGCTAGAGTACATATTAATTTTTTTTTAATAGATCGATTCTAAATTTACTCCAGATTTATTGTGTTGAGTAATAACAACATAACCACGCAGACGAATCTCAAAAAAATTTCAGAAAGAAAAATTCGAAACGAAAGGATTTAGCTGACAAATTTTCAGCGTATGTTTTCAGACACAGTTAACCCGCGATCTACCTTAATGCCTGAGCAGTCAATAGACCAGAATATTTTTCCCGAGGTGCACGGAGCAGCTCTGCCTCAGTGTGTTCTATTGCCCGAGGCCAACAGCCGAGGGCAATAGAATACACTGAGCTGCTCCCTGCACCTCGGGAAAAATATTCTCGTCTATTAATTGCTCAGGCATTAAATTATTATTTTGTTACCTAATTCCATTTTCATTATTTATAGCATTGTTTCAAATTATTGTTTACCATTGACGTCTG